GAGAGTGCCAGCACAGGCTCCCCAGTGCGGGGTGGGGGGGGGAGGGGTAGGAATTCCTGAGCCTCAAGGGCTGGATCCAGGCAAGCTGAGGTTCCTCATCCCTGTAGTAAACTCAATAGTTATAGTAGGAAAGAATCTGGAACCCTTCACTTGTATATAGACCTAAAAGAATGAAATACATATGTAAAAAAGGGAATTTTTTCCACTATATGGGTAGAAATTTTAGGGGAAATGGCTGATGCCAAATATTTTCTTTGCTTTAAATGTCACCAGGGCCTGGCAAACACTCTTGGGTCATCCCATTTGTTGCTCATAGATCACTTTGTGTTTAAGGTGTTTGAAGGGCTTTTCTTTGTGTGGTATGTGGTTCCCGCTGGCTTTGCATAACAACAACACATGCTTCACAGACACTACAATCAGACATTTTCTCTGGAAAGCTCAGCCCTTAACAACAATCCCCCATCCACACCAATAAGGGGCTGTTTGAAGTTCTTTTATAAAGAACAATAAACATTACATATAAAAATAGGATGAGGGAAAATAATCCTTTGAGAACTCCTCAGAAATAACTGATTTTGCAAGCTTTGTTAGACAGACTTGCACAAAATCATGGTGCTGTAAAACTCCTACTTAATAGCCCACACATCACATACAGGTTACCCTGAAACTATTATTTTTTGAATTCTTTACCCACTGTTATAATGCAATTGCTAGTGATATTTCATTCTGATGAAGAACCAAAAATGAATTATTTGGCAAAAATATTCTATAGTAAAAGCATTAGTAAAGGTTCTTTGTTAGAAATAATGTCCACTGCTCTTACTGTAATTTATCCATTAGCATTCAGTAATGCATCAGTTATTCCTGCAAGAAATTCATTTATTCATTCCTGAAGGGCTGAGTTGATCACATATCTGAAGGGAGACACAAGAGCAACTTACAGGGATCTGAGGGCTTGGTGCCTCTTTGAAGCATTATCCTCCACTTTGACCTTGCAGTGGTTGTTGGGATAAATTCTGCAGACCCTATGTGCATCAGATTATATGGGTTCCCTCAGCACAAAGCTAATTTCCCACCTCAGGTGGTGGGTTTGATGGCAGTGGCGGTGAGGAAGCTGTGCTTCTGGAGGAGCTGTGCAGATCTGAGGGACAGGGGAGGCCTTAAATCTGTGAAGAAGCTCATGACCACCTTCTGATCTCTGAACACCCACAAAGACCTGGAAGCAGGGGCAGATGACTGTTTTGCGGGGCCCCGGGCAGCATAATTCCGCGGGGCCCCCCCTTTGCCACGGCGCATGCGCGGAGCTTTCTGAAGCGCTGGGACTGGGGCAGCCGCCCCGTTTGCCCTGCTCTATATCTGCCCCTGCCTGGAAGATATCTCAGTTTGGGGGAAAAACATTTCTAGCCAATTCTTCAGGACAAATCCTTCCTTCATGGCATAATGAAGTAGAAAACCTGCAAATCGACCTTTAAAAAGAATATTCACCGTGTGAATATTTAGGAAGTGCCTAGCCCTTAATCGGTCACACAGAGGCATAAGTGGGTGGAAGGTTTCACTGCTTTCTTGTGAGGATGTGTAAGGGAAGGGACTTCAGTTTCCCCTGGAACCCAGGGAAGCACAAGGGGTGAGCATAGCAATGGGCAACCTAGGTTAATGAGTGGGCTGCGTGAGTGGCGCTCCTTCATCTCAGTGGGCCACAAGATTGTCGTCACTGAGATGATCTCCTGGGAGAGGGTAGTTTTGCTCACTGTGCTTGCATGGCTAGAATTTGTGGGATGTGCAGATTGAACCATAACCGTGCTTCGATTGGATGCGGAGGCAGTGTCCGGCTCTTGCAGTCAATGTTGTGCACAATCAGCACACACCTCACTTCGCGTGCCCTTGCTTTACATGCATGTCACTTTAGTAATATCGGTTGAAAAAAAAACCTAGTTGGATGGAAACCAGCGGAATCTCGCAACTACATGGAAGGGTAACACTGAACAAAATGTCTTGTGGGCCACACGGAGAACCCCATTGGGCAGCATGGCAGCATGTAGCCTGCAGGCTGCAGGTTGCCCACCACTAGGTTAGCACTAGATGTTTCCCCTATAGCAGCTGGATGGCAAGTAGACAAAGTCTCCTTTAGAAAGCACTGAAAGGAGGAACTATAATGGCCGTGTTTTCTGATCTAAGGGCCAGCGAACAAGACCAAAGGAAATCTCATTTCAGAGAGTTTTTTTTTCCTTTTCAGATCAGAGTCCTCAGCAGAGAAGATAGAAAATGACAGGAAATCTATTAATAGTAAAAAGAAAAGAAATGATCCTTCAGGAGTGGTAGAAGCCATTTTGTGAAACAGCAGTACTAAGCATTGTGCTTCAAAACAAAGAATCTTAATCTCATTTACATCAGTTTTCACAACAGTAACCCCACTGGGAAAAATCCTTGTTCCACTGAAATTCAGTAGCTTCGTGAGGGCCAAGGTTTTACTGGGATTATTCCTGATTTACACTTGTGCTCAGAATAAGCCTTAGTACATGTATATTGCAGGATGCAAAGATTTTCATCTGACTTTTGTCAGATAAAGCTAATTTCAGAACTGGGCAAATTGGTTGAAATGACATTAAAGAACAGAGTTATCAGACACATCAATAAACATATGTTGGGGAAAATTCAGTGTGGCTTTCTTAAAGGGAAATCATACCTCACCAATGTATTCAAATTATTTGAGAGTGTAAACAAACACATAGACAAGGGTGATCTATACTTTGATGTTCAGAAAACCTCTAGCAAGGTCCCTTACCAATAACTCTTATGCCCAGTGAGCCGTCTTGGGATGGTTAGCCTTTCAGGAGTGTGTTAACATTGGGACAAACTCCTGGAAAAGGTACATATTTATTTGATCAAAGTTCTAACTACTATTGGCAAAGTCAATCAATCGTTAAACACTTAGCTCTTTTTTTTTGAAGAAAAGAAAAATCAATGCCACAATTTTCAGTATTTTTGTATAGTCTCAGTGGCTCCGATTCCTGCAGTCCTTTGTGAATATCCATGAAATGGCTACAGGAAAGTGAGCTACTGGCCACATATGTTAGAGCAATATTTATATCGTCACTGACCGACTCACAAAAAGACAATGTTGTTCCACTCAACAATCACTGGTTTTCTATTGAAATCAAGGCTGCTTGCTGAGGGAAGAAATGCTCTGCCTGTGTGATTCCAGGAAGCAATAAGCACCTACATGAAAATAACTCAAGTCCCCATCCCTAATCCCCTGCCTATCCTTTTTTTATCTGATGGATTCAGCAAGGGCTGGGAGATCATTGTGTGAATGAAATGGAAAGAGAGTTAACAAGATGTGACCAGTCCCTGGACAAAACAATAGAGGGAAACCTTCACTTTGTCTAGTATCTGGGAGTCGTCCTCATGTGCAGATAACAATGTGGATCGCTGTGGGCTTGGTCTGCTGCTTAGTTTTTGGAGGACTGCCTTCAGCTCATTGCACTTGTCCTTCCCAATGTAGCTGCACCTTCCATAGTCTCAATGAAGGAACAAAAGCAAGGTATGGAGGCTTTTCTTTGTTTTTCATATGGAAGATTTTGTGTTCACCTTTGTAAGGTTGCATGGAAAAGAAAATCTGGTTTATGCGGTGACTGTATGCATGTTATTTTCCCCAATCGCTTTGTACTACAGCTTTATGTGCAGGAGGATTAGCTTCTGAGCACACTGTAATCTGATTTCAGAGAAAGCATTTGGTGACCTTCTCTACTAGGATAGAAGCAATATAATTAACATCAGTATAATGGTGAAAGAAAAATAAAATGTAAAATGCCAGACTTTGTGCAGAAAATGTCTTAAAGTTCCAGCCCACGTTGTTCTCTGTCAAAGAGTTAATTGGACTTGCTGGTACAATGCTTTCAAAAATACATGGACTACTGCCTTTTATTTCATTTACTTAAGCATCCTCTAGTCAAAGGGGTCTTTTTTTGAGAAGGAAACAATCCCCAAATCAGAGGAAAACTCAAAGGCAGATTCCACACATTAAATATAAAATCTGAGAATTGTTTATTTCAGTTCCACAGAATCTCAGCAAAGGCCAGTTCTTTATTTTTTAAATGAAGTACAATTTAAAGTAGTGGAGGAATCTTTTTTTTAAAAATATCAGTAAAGCAATGACTTGACTTAATGGGAAACAGGACAAGCACATATACAATATATTTACAATACAAAAAGAGGGAGATGGGGAGAAAGCAATCCCCTTTTCTTTGGATTTCTTCTTGATGGGGTTCTAATGGAGGAATTCAACAAGGAAATTAAAAACTGTCACCTAGATTTCGAATGTCAGTAAAATGGACTCTTTTCCTCAAGATTGTTCAAGTGCAATAAAAGGAGCACCAGAAGCTTTTTATGTTAGAAGTACAGTGGTAACACAAATTATCTGTAGTTATTGAGAAGGAATGCAACAAAAATAATCAGGCTGTCCCAAAGAGGCCATAGTGGAATTACGTTCGAGCAACTGGGAAATACTGTAGTATTTGGTGATAGCTATCTTAAAAAAGGTGCTGTCTATCATTCCCTAAGGTGAATAAATTGTCATTTTTTCTGTATTATGTTTCAGTGACCCCCCCGCCCCAGAAAATTTCCCAATAGTAGAAGAGCTTTATCCTATAGAATAACAGTTTAGTGCTCAATAGTGTCATCTGGAAATATCATCAATAGCTTAAGGGCACATTGCTACATTATCATAGCTACTCATATTATTGAACCGTCTGTGTCATTCACAGAAAAGTAATGCATTATGGAGAAATGTTTTCTGTCTCTTTAGTTTCTTCATTTTGCTCTTAGTTTTTCCTCAAACCCCAACCCCCAGGTAAGGAGGGAGGGATGAGCTTTCTTCCAGAGCCTGTCAGTTTTGTTCAGAGTCTTGACTGCACCTTGTTGCTTGAGAGTCAGGTGAAGCATTTCCTTCCTTAGCCTCCTGGGATTGTGTTTGCATCTTCCTCTTCCATCACAGATTTTATGCCATAAAATTAAATAAAAGTAACTAGTATACCTATCATGAATTAACAGTTTTATCTGGAAGCTTGAAAACATTTAACTCTGGGAAGCCTGACTTAACAAGAGCAGTGTAGCTATGTTATTTATTTATACCTGTAATACAGGAATAGTTATTTCAGCTAAAAATGATCTGATTTATAATACTCCCTTTATTGACCAGCCACAGTCATTAGGAGATGGCACTTAGATTATCATGTTATGTTTCCATCATCATACCGCTTCTAGTATGTGAAGTGGATTGTGCTTATTTGATTTTGCTACTTTTTATAAAGTAAACTGTGATTCATGTTAAAAATTTGCCATTCATTCCTTCCCCTTGCTGTTAGGCAAACTGATGTCCATTCCATAATGTATTTTCTAAGTTATCTGTCTCACTCTCCCTGCTCTTTACAATTTCATACAAAGCCAAAGTCAAATTTTGCTTTTATGAGTCCCAAGTAAATACAGAGTAAGGACTTAGGATATGGTCTTTAGGAATTAGAGATGGAAAAGAGTAATTAGATCATCTTTTTCATACTACATCCAGTGCAGTATTTCCCAAACAATTTCCAGTGCTTTCACTCATATACTTACAAATGCGTAAAGTGAAGTGATTTCTATTGCTATATGGATTTCACAGTAGTTCAGATTTCAAATTAAGACTTTATTTGTTTAATTGATTTCATTTCATGAACAGGAAATTCCATACAGTATTTAATGTGTATTCCCCTGTTATTTTCATATAGGCTACATCTAGACTCCGACCCTCTTTCGAAAAAGAGCGTCTTGACAACAACCAGTATTTTTGAAAAAGCGAGCCGCTTTTTCGAAAAAGAGCACCCTGGCAATCTGGATGCTCTCTTTCGAAAAAGCACAGTTAGCATTACATAGAGTGCCTTTTTTCAAAAGAGCAATTTCAAAAAAAGGCGTTATTCCTCGTAAAATGAGATTTTCCACGGTTGAAAATACTGCCGCGTTCTTTCAATTTACTTTCGAAAGAACACGGCACCAGTCTAGATGCAGGAGAAGCTTTTTTAAAAAAAGGCCACTTTTCTCAAAAAAAACCTGTAGTCAAGACATACCCTTAGGGTATGTCTATGCTGCACAGTTACCCTACATCTACATGAGCTGCCTGGTATTTTGAAATATTTTTCAGAATAACGGAAGCACTATTTCTCCATTCCGGTAAACTTCATTGCATGAGGGTTAAGGGATGGCTCGAAATAGAGCGTTATTTCAAAATTTGGTGCTGTGTAGAAGCACCAGATTTCAAAATAAGCTATTTTGAAATAGATTCGAGATGAGATACACAATTTGTGTAGTGCAAATTGCGTATCTTACTTCGAGTTTAGGGTGCTGTGTAGACTAAAGATGGACTGAAGGTCCCAAAAAGCCAAAGATGTTGTTATGGCTCTGAAACCCTCTAATACTGAACAATTTTAAACAAGCTCTAGGGGTTGGTAAACAAAGACCTTAGTCTGCTTAGGACTGTGGAGATCCATCCCACTATAGAATTCATACCAAAGGTTACAAATTCATTGATTTGAAACATACAAAAAAGAAAAGACTCAAAGTGAGATAAAGAAAATTGAAACGGAAGTTGATTATGTAAAACAATCTTAATCAAAGCATAACAAAGTCCCTTTTGTAGGCAAGGAATATGGTTAAAATCTCTTATTCAGATAAACAGCAATTCTTGATGGGAATTATAATCATTTTCTGACTTCAGACAAAACAGACAGACACAGACAGGAAAGAAGAGAGAGGATAGGAAAGTTGAGGGAAATACGGCTTTTGTTGATATTCTCAGTATACAGGATAGCTGGTCAGTCACAGAAAGATGCTTTTGGCTAACAGACTAGCCCTGGCAACTATTGCTGTGGACCCTGGCTCACTTCCTTAGTCAGGAACATAATCTGGCTGGTTTGGTCAGGTCCTTCTCATTCACTGGTTATTCTGAGGCTGAGCAGAGCTGCATAGAGCATCTCACATCACTGGACTGGTGCTGTGCAGTGTGGTTGATTTCAGGAGAATACCTGCGAGGGGTGGGGGTGGGAGGACAGGAGGAAGATGAATGGGTGACAGAAAGGAGCACATGAGGGGTAGGGGAAACAGCAAAATTTCACACTTTTCAGATTGGGGTCCTTGTTGGTGCAACAGTGATGCCCAAATGGCCTCACTGGAGTATCTAAGGGTATGTCTACACTGCCACCCTAGTTCGATCAAGGGTGGCTAATGTAGGCATTCGAACTTGCAAATGAAGCCCGGGATTTAAATATCCTGGGCTTCATTTGCATGTTCCCGGGTGCTGCCATTTTTAAATGCCCCGTAGTTCGAACTACCTGCCCACAGCTACATGTGGCATGGACTAGGTAGTTCGAATTAAAGCTCCTTTATTTGCATGTTCAAATGCCTACATTAGCCACCCTAGTTCAAACTAGGGTAGCAACGCGGACATACCCAATATGTGGTGTCATGGCAACAGTCCTTTCACAGCAGTCATGGGGTGGTAAAAAGTTTCCCCCTTTCAGCCTCAAAAACTCTTTTACAATGGCCCCAAAAAGGCAAGGGGTGGAATAACCCACCCTCTCTTTATTTCATCAACTCATTAGGCCTAATTTCCAACATTTTGGTTAATTGATATCCAGTTCTATACTTTTCTTGTTTACCAAAAATGATCCTAACACAATCTTTGAATTATATCAAAAGGTTTCTTATTTGGACTAATTCAGTCTTTTTTGGGGTGTTTTTTTTGGCATTTTTTTGTCATCAGCATTGATAGTCATGGGGGAGCTCACAAGAGGGGAAAATTTGTAGGAACATCAGCTTGTTAAATATTTCACTCTGTCCAAATCTCTGATGGCTGAACTGGCAAACCGTGTTTTAACATGTACTGACATGCTCTCTAGTGCAGTAATATTATGGTCACAATTTTCAGAAAGTCAATTAAAAAAAAAAAAAGAAAGACTCCATAAGCCAGATTCATACCTAATATAAAGAGGTGCAACTCACAGAATTATTTTATACAAAGACTGAATTTGATCCTGTGTACCTAAGTTGCTTTGATTTTTTCACATAGCTGAACCATATATAGGAAAACAAACTGAAGAAGGGACTGGAAAAGAGAAAAGCAGGTACAAACCATAGGTTAGAACAGGGCTACTCAAATTTTGGAAGCCCCAGGGGCCACAATGATACTCACAACACATGCCGATGGCCACAACTTAAGTGTGGTTGCATATATGTGCAAATATATATGCAAATATACACAAATAGCTTCTTTCACATTGACAGGCATGAATACAAAGATTAAGGCATGACTACACAACACACAGGCCCCATTTAAGTCAGTTCTGCTGATATTAATAAAATGCCATATTTACCCGATTTCTACCCATTTGACAGCACGTTTAGCGAGCAGTAACAGTCCAGAAACTTAACTACTAAAACGCATATCAACAGAAGACCATTATATTGACTACTTTTTTGTTTTGGCTCCCACCCTTGGGTCGTGTATTGAGCCCCGCGTAAATCCAAACTGCACCGCGGGCCACAAACAAACAGGCTGCAGGCCGCATGCGGCCCACAGGCTGCATGTTGAGTAGCTCTGGGTTAGAATAAAGTGAAAAGATTTCAAAATGTACAAAAGTAATTTAATATTTGGTTTTTCCAATCAGAACTGTGCTGTGCAATGACCCAGAGATGACACTCACCCCTGTGAACATCCCAGGAGATACATATAAACTTCGAATAGAGAAGACAGCCATCAGGAGAGTTCCAGGAGAAGCTTTCTATTCTCTCCGTAACCTGGAATACCTCTGGATGCCCTACAACTCTTTGGCTAGCCTCAGTGTGATTACCTTTAGAGGTCTCCGCCGCGTACAGGAATTGAGACTGGATGGGAATGACTTAGTTTTGTTTCCATGGGAAGTTCTTGCAGACATGCCCCAGTTAAGGCTACTGGATTTACACAATAATGAACTCACCTCGGTACCAGCAGAAGCTGCTCGTTACATCAAGAACATCACCTACCTGGATCTTTCCAGCAATAAACTGATGACTCTTCCCCAAGATCTTATTTCAGCCTGGGCCAACCTCCAGGCAGTTCCTTACTTCCCCAATGACAATGCCAAGATCATTTTAGGTAAGAGAATTAAAAAAATATGGCAAATTAGAAGGCACTGAGACAAATATCAAACATGCAACATACAATAACAATACTTTAATATTGCTCATTCACTCTAGGCCCCTTTTGGCTGTCAGTCCTCACAGGACCTGGCTTTGTGGTAGAAAAAAAAACATCCATATGAAAAGGCAAGAGATAAAATTAGGACTCTTGCCTTGACAGGTGTATATAAAATAATGAGGGTGAACGCAGAACAGTGGTTTTCAGCCTTTTTGGTTCACAACCCAAACAATAGCAAAAAAAATCATCCCACACTCTACCATGTACCGTAATCCTGTAGAATTTAGGCCCTGGGTTGATTGTGTAGCCATTTTATGGATTACGGATCATGTGAGATGGCGGGCAGCTACTGTTTTTGAAAGGAGGGAAGACTTTGAAGGAGAAAGGAGGGCTGCTGCTAGAGGCTCTTGGTGGTTGGTGAATGAGTAGGCTTGGGTTCCATTGGAGTGGAAATGAGGGACTTTTTCATCCTCTCTCTTTCCACATATTCAGCATTCATCTCTGAGGTTTGGAAAGCACTGCTCCAAGAGACTGTGAAACTGGCTACACAGCCTATATAAAGAGGCTGCGTCTAGACTGGCAAGTTTTTCCGCAAAAGCAATTGCTTTTGCGGAAAAACTTGCCAGTCTAGACGCAGCCTCTTTATATAGGCTGTGTAGCCAGTTTCACAGTCTCTTGGAGCAGTGCTTTCCAAACCTCAGAGATGAATGCTGAATATGTGGAAAGAGAGAGGATGAAAAAGTCCCTCATTTCCACTCCAATGGAACCCAAGCCTACTCATTCACCAACCACCAAGAGCCTCTAGCAGCAGCCCTCCTTTCTCCTTCAAAGTCTTCCCTCCTTTCAAAAACAGTAGCTGCCCGCCATCTCACATGATCCGTAATCCATAAAATGGCTACACAATCAACCCAGGGCCTAAATTCTACAGGATTACGGTACATGGTAGAGTGTGGGATGATTTTTTTTGCTATTGTTTGGGTTGTGAACCAAAAAGGCTGAAAACCACTGTTCTGCGTTCACCCTCATTATTTTATATACACCTGTCAAGGCAAGAGTCCTAATTTTATCTCTTGCCTTTTCATATGGATGTTTTTTTCTTGTCTCATTATTTTCTGGTCCATATTGTTGTTCCCTATATTTCTACTATATTTTTTTTTCCAGACAGGTCTGGCTGAATTGAACATAGTATTCTAGCTGATGGTCTGCCACTGATTTTCTCAATAGCACTATAATATCTTCATCCCATTCCTTTTGCATTCTGCCATTTTGCTTGTTATTTTGCCATGTTCCATTGCTGCACACTGAACATGAGTTTTACATAATCTTTTATTAGTCTTTATAACTGAGTAGATAGAGAATATAGGAACCAAGGAGTATGTGCAGACATAGGAGGCATCTGTGGTCTATAAGGTTGAGCAGTAAGAACTTCAGAAGAGGCTTTAAAGCAATGACTATATTGCCAACTATTATGTAATCCACAGTGTAGAATGGATTGGTTAGCACACAACTAACAGAAAAATATCTCTGAGCACATTGGTCAGAAAATCAATTACAAAACTGAATTCTGTATTCACTTCTGGATTCACTGTAGTGTATATAGGACTGTAGTGTTATAGTGTATATATGTGAATGTCTCTCAGATATGGAAATGTTTACCAGAAGGCAAAAGTGACAGAGTCCAGTGAGGGCAAATAGAATGACTATACAGAGTTTGATTTCAGGATGGGGCTGTGAATCAGAAATCTCAGTTAACGTCAGTGAATATTGCAGTTAAAGTCTGTAATTTTTTTTGTTTTATTTTTGCTAGGTTTCTAAGCATTCTTGACAGTACACAGGGTATGGGTGCAGCCAATATACATCTGTTTAAAAATATGACTGACTGTTTATAGACTCTTTTTTATATTTTCCCAGCCCTGTTCTTCTCCTTCCTTCCTTCCTTCCTTCCTTCCTTCCTTCCTTCCTTCCTTCCACTTCAGGGTCATTGATGGGGATGGTGGGTGGAAGGGGAGGGGGAAAAGAGAAAAAAGATGACCGTATGTAGCTAAATTCGATCTAAACTCTTCGTATAGACCAGGCCTAAGTTGTATCAGTTACAACTCCACATATGGGGTTCTATTGATTGCATCGTGAACATAAGAATAGCCATACTAGGTCAGACCAAAGGTCCATCTGTCTCAGGATCCCGTCCTTTAACAGCGGCCAATGCCAGGTGCCCCAGTGTGAATGAACAGAACAGGGAATCGTCACGTGAACCCTCTCCTATCATCTATTTCCAGCCTTTGACAAACAGAAGCTAGGGACACCATTCCATATCTGTCCATTCTGGCTAACAGCCAAAGATGGACCTAACCTCCATGAATTTATCTAGTTCTTTTTTGAACTCTGTTAAAGCCCTGGTCTTCACAACACCCTATAGCAAGGAGTTTCACAAAGGGGGCAGTTGTTCTGGGGCCTGGTGATTTGAAAGGGTACTGTGGCAGCAGCAGGAACCAGAGCCCTGGGCCATTTAAATCACCCCAGAACCTCGCACAATGTAGACTGGTCAGCACTGAGGGCTGTCTAGCCTTATCCCTGCCTCCTCTGCCTGAGGCCCTGCCCCTTCCGGAGGATCTGGAGCTGCCCACCCACATTGCCCAGGGCCTGGTGAAGTCTGTCACCAGCCCTGATCCTCTTAGTTTTAATGTATTTAATTTAAAATAGGTAAAAGATGACCCACTACTAAGGCGTGCTACTTTCAAAACACCTACCCAAAGCCACTAGCATTGAATGAGAGAGGCTCCATTTCTTCTTCAGCAGAATGTTTTAAAAATTGCCTTGAGAAGTCAGTGGCTCACAATCTGAACTGACTTTATACTAACTCTAGCATTCATTGCACTCCATCATTGCTTCAGGTAATCAATTTTAGTCTGTGATCCACAGAAAGGTTTAAATTCCTGCTTAAGTCAATTTTAATTCAAGATAACACTTCGGCATGCCCTTATATTAAAACATGTGTTAAGTGTCATCAACTTTAAAGTTAAATATGTGCTTACATATTCTCCTGAATTAGGGACGCTTCCTTTGAACTGAACCATTAAACATCTCAAAGTGATTATTTTTCTAACATTATCATTTTTTGAGTAATAAAATATGTTTAATTCTGAAGCAAACAAAGTCAAAGAGCTTTATTTTAAAGCCAGTTAAGGTTATTAAGTGACAGGAATGTATACACCTGTCACTTGCTTTGCCAAGTCCAAGCATTTAAAAGCAAAGAAATGAAGCTAAGGACTGAACTGTACATTACCTGCATAATAAACAATCAAATAATTATTTTCAGGGGTAAAGAAATACATAATTTATCACAATATAACAACATTAACTCTGACTCATGGATATGCATTATTTTTATTGTGATTTTGATATCTAATTTTTTCCCTCATGGATACTATTAAAATCCATTCATGTATAGTAGTTGTGGTATAATATGATTTCTTTGGGCAGACAGAGGGACATGAATAAAAATTAGACATCTCGTGAAGCTGGAAAAGGAGTAAAATTGAAGTTATTTAATCTTACTTCATTGACTCTCATTGCCTATGAGATTAATAATCTGAAATATGTGAAAGCATGAAGAGCTTGCTGTCTTTTTGTGACATAAAAGGGTTAAATCAATCATACAGTGGGACTGCGGCTGCATTCAATATAGAATGGTTGTCGCTTTTGTAACACAAAGCGCAAACATCTGCACTAGAACCTTGTCCTACAGCTCTAAACACAGAGGTCTTTCTATTAAAGATCTCAAGGAAGGGACTTCTGTCATTTTAAAAGGAGCCACAGTCAAGCGGCAAGTGCTTATAGATTTACCTAGTACTTGCTCCTGCTTCCACTGAAGTGAGTGGCACACATTTCTCATTCACATCATTTGAAATTTATGAGGAAGGCCTCTCTCCCAAACTATTTGCAACAAAAACTCTAATAACGGCATGATTTCTTGTCACCTATTTTCTTCAAATATAGATGGCACACAAGTTTCCCCCTAAATATAACTGTGTGGAAAGTCTGAAAGTGAGCTAACGGGCAACAAAGCAACTTTAAACAAAAGTAAAAATTTCAAACTAGAGCAACTCAAAGACAGCAGGACAAATGCTCTCCAAACTTCACACAAAGCCTCTGCTTTCACAATAAATGTGGCGATTTTCCGGACAATTTTCAAGGCAAAGATATGGAAGCTGATTGCCCTCTTAAATAAGGATAGGCTATTGTCTCCGTCTAACAACCTGTTTTGATTGTAGGTTAATTCTACTTTGCAGTGCCACAATACCATTTCATTCACGTGTCAAAACACTTCAGAAAACAGTGTTAACACCAACTTACCAGTGGCGTAAGTAAGGCTAGGAGTGGTCCGAGCCATATGGTGAGGATTATGACACTGGTTTCTGGCCTCCAAGGCTATATTCCATATGTAAAGCCTAGTTTGAAGCAGATTATAAGCCAGTTATCCTGTAGCCATTAAAAATACAAAATGAAGAGTAGCAATGGAAATGTTAGTGGCAGAATGATTAATAATGGTCATGATTTCTTTTGCTAGGTTTGCAGGACAACCCGTGGGTGTGTGACTGCAGTCTGTACGAAATGGTCCATTTCCTAAACTTCCAGTCTCCTAACATAGCCTTTATAGAGCCAAGACTGAAATGTTTTGCCCCACGGAGTCTTGCTGGAGTCTTCTTCAGTCAAGTTGAACTACGAAAATGTCAAAGCCCGGTTGTGCATACTTCTGTAGCCAAAGTAAAGACCATCCTGGGCAGCACTGTGTTACTCCGGTGTGGCACTACAGGGGTACCCATTCCTGAACTCAGTTGGAGACGGGCTGATGGCAATCAACTCAATGGCACAGGTAGGTTCTGGCTATTTATTTCACACTTTGTGACTGGAAAGCTGGCTTGTGTTTTCTGCACACCCTGGAGCAAATATCAGCTTCAGCTTTTCCAGATAAATAAAACTACTGTAGATGCCTCATGATGAATAAGAAAATAGGAGTCTAGCAAGAGGAGCATGTTAACATTGTAACTCTCTACAGCAAGGCTACTCAACTTTGGAAGCCTTGGGGGCCACAATGATACTCACAGCACATGCTGAGGGCCGCAACGTAAGTGTGGTTGTATATACATGCAAATATATGCAAATATATGCAAATAGCTTCTTTCACAGATTAAGGCAAGACTACACAACACGCAGGCCCCATTTAAGTCAGTTCTGCTGATATTAATAAAATGCAATATTTATCTGATTTCCACCCACATGACAGCACTTTTAATGAGCAATGACAGTCCAGGAATTTACCTACTAAAATGCATATCAACAGAAGACCATTATATTGACTCGCCGTTGTGGAGCATGTTCCCAGTGGAGGCCATGTTCAAAGGATCCTACCCGCGGGCCACATGTTGAGCCCCACGTAAACCCAAACCCCACCGCAGGCCACAAACAAATGGGCCGCAGACTGAATGTGGCCCACAGGCTGCGTGTTAAGTAGCCCTGCTCTACAGTATTTATGTGATTTTTTTCTGAAGACTCATACAACTAACCTACACCTCAGTGTGCATATATTAATGTTCATATTAGAACTGTCCTGTGAAACACAGGCCATGTTTTCTTTGTTTCACAACAAATGCACTGCAGTTGAGGATCACAGGCAGTTCTCTGTAAAGTAATTTTAGGTGCTTTGTTAGCGTGTGCAGCAAAAAGAAGAGGCACTTTCAAATTAGTTTTAATTACATATTAAGCAATCTTCCTAAAAATACCCCCTAGTTTGGGTGCACCTACATAGCAACGTTATTCCGAAAGAACTTTGCGAGCGTCTACACAGCAATTCCGTTATTTTGAAATAATATTGAAATAATGGGCAGCTTATTCCAGATTCTGTAAATTTCATTCCAAGAGGAATAACACCTCTTCTGAAATAGCTATTTTGGAATAGCAGTAGTGCGGATGCTCCCCACAGCTATTTCAAAATAGCTCCTCCCCCAGACCATTCAAAGTAATTACTCCCCAGTGCTTCTAAATTGACATTGTGCGTCCACATTAGGGAAGCCTGCCTCGGACTAATTTCCAGGCTTCCCTGTAGAGTACATGCTAAATAAGCTATTTTGGAGTATTTCTTTCAGAATACCTTATTCCAAAATATGTGTGCAGTGTAGACGTAGCCTTTGTGAGCTTCCTGAGGCTTCGTTGCGTGCTTTCACGTGTCTGTAACATTGAACTGCTGTCAAAACAGTTAATAAATCTCTGTCAAATATTTCTTTGATGTCAATTCAACCAAGATCAAATTTGCAGGTGATGTGGAGACTGAAGCAATAATGAACCCCCTTTTAAGATAATGGAACAAATATTAAGAGGAAAAAGTCACTAAAACTTGTAATGGATATCGGAAATATAAGCAATAAGGAAGATTATAAAGTATAGAATACAGTATCTCATTAGTATCACTCTCAAAATGGAAATGACTCTCAATTGGAGTTGGGCCAGAACAAGATTTTTCATTTCTCAGAGAAGTCTGCAATTTTGACATTTTTCTATTTCAAAATGGACAAAAATGATCACATTTCAATATTTGCTACAAAACAGACCTCCTCCCCAAAATGTATTTTGAGTTGATTAAAATGTTTCATTCTAATTTTGACTTTTTTAAAAAAATATTAAAAACAATTGAAACAAAAAGTCCTTTCAAAATGGGAAATTGATTTTTTTTCATTTCAAAAAGATCCAAAGGCTTTCCCCCCATTTTTAAAAAATGCAGTTGAAATGAACATATTTCTTCAAACATTTCACTTCTGATGAATTGTCATTTTTCCCTTTAAATCTCCACATCACGGTGATCTTCCTTTCACAAGAAGGGCTGGATCTGATGTCATCTGAATGAAGATTATGGGTACGTCTAGACTACCGGGTTTTGTCAACAGAAGTTTTGTCAACAGTATCTGTCGACAAAACTTCTGTTGACAAAGAGCGTCCAGACACATTGAGTTCTGTCGACAAAGCAAGCTGCTTTGTCAACAGAACCCTGTAGTCTAGACGCAACCCTACAGGCAATAACACCTTCTGTCGACAGAACTCTGTCGACAGAAGGTGTTATGCCTCGTAAAATGAGGTATACCAGCGTCGACAAAACTGCTGAGTTCTGTCGACGTTATGTCGACAGAACTCAACGGTAGTGTAGACGCTGGTATAGTTTTGTCGACAAAAGTCCACTTTTGTCGACAAAACTCAGTAGTCTAGACACACCCTTGGTCTCTAAAGAGAACAACAAGAGATGGCATGTGGGTGGGCACAGATTTCCGAAATCTGAAAATAAAGGGTGAATTTCTAAACCCATTCAAGTCATAAAGGGTTTTGTTATTCATGTAATTGGAGCAAATTTCTCCCTAAGGGTACAAATTCAGAGAGTTAACTGTTATACCCTGAATGTTATTAGTTCATTGGTCCAACCTATTAAATACTTTTCTTATAAGAGCTAAAAAAATTAATAGATGTGTCATGTGTCCTTAAAGTGTGATGAGATTCTTCAGTACCACAGAAGCAGGGAATGGGTATTTTTTCACAGCTATAAAACCAATTGCAATGCAAGTCCTTTTTAGTGATCTTCACAAGCCATTACTCTGTTTTGCATGACGTGATGCAATGCAATAATGCCTACATATAATAAGAAAACATGCCTCCTAAATTAAAAACAAACAAAAATTCCTTCTCTGCAACATAAAGAGTGCATTCTAGAAAACATATGTTAAGTTTACTCTAGCTACAGTCAAGAGTAGCCTTCAACTTCCTGAAGGGAGGTTCCAAAGAGGATGGAGAAAGGCTGTTCACTATAGTGACTGGTGGCAGAACAAGGAGCAATGGTCTCAAGTTACAGTGGGGGAGGTCTAGGTTGGATATTAGGAAAAACTATTTCCCTAGGAGGGTGGTGAAGCACTGGAATGGGTTACCTAAGGAGGTGGTGGAATCTCCATCCCTAGAAGTTTTTAAGTGTTGGCTTGACAAAGCCCTGGCTGGGTTCATTTAGTTGGGATTGGTTCTGCCTTGGGCAGGGGATAGACTTGATGACCTCCTGAGGTCTCTTTCAGATCCATGATTCTATGATTCTATAAGATGTATATGTTTTGTGACACATTAAACATGGCTTTACAAATTTTCAGTTAAGAGTAGTCTGAAAAGATACAGTACCTCCCAGTGGTGGTGTTTCTTCATGAACACTATAGAATGACCGCTTGAAATATTAACTTTTCTGAAAGAATGAAAGGAAAAGTGGCTCTCCTTCTAGCTGGAAGAGTGATGTAGAATTATCACATGAAGCTTGGAAATTTTCTGTTGAATGTCCATGATCAATAAATACTTAACTTGTAAAGTGCAAAACCTTTAATTTTTTTTGTTTGGTTTGATTCATTTTTCATTAGCAAGATTTCTGCTCCAAAAGGCTGGATCTTATCATGATTAAATTTTTGTAAGGTGCTCAATACGTAACATGGTCCAAATATTCACCTTAATTCTACAGCAAACAACAAATTATTTCTGAGACATTTCTCTCTTGTTCATTCATTCTAGGAATTGCCATATGAGCATCTTGGAAGAATGTCTCCTCTTGAGCAGTAATTTTCTTTCATGTGATCCATAAGTAAAAAAGTATATTGACTCTTCCAAACACAAACGTCTCACTCTCATTCCTGCACATGATTGCAGTGTTTTGTATATATTTTTTAAGGATGGAAAAATCTTTCCTATTTTGTTTTCCAATTGTTGCTTCATCCTGAAGGAAACATTCCATCATACTTTTTGAAGGAGGGTATATGGATGAATGAGCTCTACGAATGTGACTTTGATCGTAGTCTAACAGCTAATAACCTTTCTTTAGGTTTATTTTGATTTCATAATATTTTGGTTAACAAAAAAGATCATTCTGATATGTATAATAGTAATTTTGCTGAATCAATCTTCTTAATATTTTCCATTATATCCATGTCTGATTTTTTTTTAGTGCACCAGGAAATTTCGAGTGATGGAATGAGCTGGTCCATTCTAGGCTTGCCTGTAGTCTCCTATCTGGATTCTGGAGAGTACATCTGTAAAGCAAAGAACTTCCTAGGGGCTACAGAGGCTTTCATATCTCTCATCATCACAGACTCAGAAGGTACTGATGACCCTAATGCTAACTCTAAAGGAGTATGGAATGGGAAGGTGAGCGGGATGGAAGCAGCTGCTTACAATGACAGACTGGTGGCTAGGTACGTTATCACAACCTCAACTTCACCTACCCTAGGTGCCAGACCCGTTCGTGTTAACACAGAAGAGACTGTAGGGTTCCAGAACGAGGCACAGAATATGGTTAAGGAGCAGAATAACAATCCAGGAAATCTTCTATCAAATCTACCCACTGGTCAACAGGAGCCAGAGCGTATAGTAAGGTCTGTCAGAGTGATAGGAGACACGGATCAAAGTGTCTCATTAGCCTGGAAAGCTCCGCAGGCAAAGAACACAACCATATTCAGCGTCCTTTATGCCATTTTTGGAGAGAGGGACATGCGCAGAATCAGTGTGGAGCCAGGTAAGATGAAGATCACCATTGATGGGTTGATGCCAAAGACCAAGTACATAGTGTGTGTCTGTGTAAAAGGGCTGATCCCCAGAAAGGAACAATGCATCATATTTTCCACAGATGAAGTTGCCAGTGCAGGTGGAACTCAAAAACTCATTAACGTGGTGGTGATCAGTGTGGCCTGTGTCATTGCTGTTCCTCTGACTCTAGTGGTCTGCTGTGGGGCATTGAAAAGGCGTTGCAAAAAATGCTTTGTCCGGAAGCCCAAAGAAGTTCAGGAGTCCTATGTCACATTTGAAAGTCTATCTCCAGGGGCCAAAACTAAAGGAGTGGAAGGAGAATACTTGACTAGGCACACCCCAGATGAGTCGAACAGGCTGCTGTCTGCACGATCTAGCGTGGACTCAGAAGCAATACCAAAGACAGAGGGGCAACCCAATGAGTACTTCTGCTGATAGTACTAGGCATGTTAGATACACATGCACACACAAATGCATATGACTCTGTATTCTGCAGGTCATACCAGCATACGCTATTGCAGGTCAATATGTCAGTAGTAATGTACCCCAACATGTTCCAGAAAGCAATGTGAGAAGACTGATTATACTCAGCAGATTTTGCACTGTTTTGTTTGCTGAGATGCATCTAGTCACATAGCCGCAAAAGATTTCTGATTGTCCACTAAACCCCCTGGGATATTATTCCTTCGACACAATGAAGTCTTCTAATTGAATATAAGACTATTAAGTGATGATGTTGACTACATTCTTGTATAATTCTGTTTTAATATCTGGCTGGGTATACACTAAATATATTAATATCAACTATGTTGAATCCTTGTAGAATGACAAACACTGAAGTTGTTTCTAATGATAATAGAAATTGAACTGCGAAAGTGAAGATTCATAGATTCATTTGGTATTCCCCACGCAATTAAAAGGGTGTGTGAAAATACCCAGCTTGATGCTTAATAGACTATAAAATGCAAATACTATAACTGTAAAATGTGACCAAGCATAATGTATTATTACATCAATATCCTGATTTGAGGAAAAACAGTGAAGAGTAGCAATCAAGATGAAAACAATTCATACTTAAGGACTCAGGGGCCTGAGCTTTTTTGTGATAGTTCAAGATGGCTTGAACTGGGCCAGCTCTGATTTACAAGAACTATCATCTAGTGCTGTATGTAAGTACTATGTTTGACAATAATTTTCCATCATTGCTGTGGTTGGTATTGTTTGTTTAATGACTTTGTTAATTGAAATCATGATTGGATAAATATTATAATATTATAATTTTACATGCTTTGTTACCATGTTAATGTGGATGCAACCCAGGGCTTTAGCCACATTAGATCTTTTTGGAATGTCTCCCAGAGCTGCCTGGCCACCACTGCTGTTCCATTCCTGTGGGAACAATTTTGTCTCGGGCAAACATGTGCATTTTGTTTTAATGTCATTACACCTGCTCTGAGCAGGATTAGATGAGACAGTGGTAAAACTTCTAATTGGCTACTCAACACATATCTGAACATCACTAGTGAAGCTGCCCCAACAGTCACCATTTGAATAATATTTCCACTGCAGTCCCTAACATGAAAATGCTTTATAATGCCTTTCACTTTTTAATAGATGTTCTTCAGGGCACCTTACGATGAAAATTATACGTTCTACCAAGTGATGCTGAAGATGGTAGGCAATGGTAGCTGTGGAAGTCTTATTCTTTTGAGTGATATTTTAATATGTATTTATAAATGTATTTGTCATGATCTGAAGTCATATTATATATCTTCACGTAATGCATGGATTCATAAAATGCTCTAGTTGGAAGGGATGACCATTCAGATGTTGCAACGATCTACTTGCAGAACAGGATTTCAATTATCTCTGAATAATTGCCCTTCTAGAAGAATGAGTAAATATGATCCCAGCCCGGACACTTGAAATAGGTGACCTGAAAAAGTTTTGACCAGTCTGAAAGCGATTGCTTGTTCTGTTGCCCTATATTGGCTAATTTAATGGTAGATAACCTCTTTTGGAATGGGAGAATCTGTCAGAAGGGAACACATTTTGTAAGTATGTATTTAATGCATAATGCCACATCCCGCACAGATTTCTATGTTTACCACTAATGTTTTGCAATGTCAGGTTAGTAATTCAGCATGGCAGATTAGTTGGTGTTATTTGTACATATTAGGTTTCAAATGGTGGCTTTGGATGTTTCACAAAGGGAATGCTAAAATATTCTTGCAGTAAATGGGTTTTTGTATAATGAGATTATCTATGATACAATATTTGGCAAATCATTTAATTTTACTGAGACAGATTCTGCTCTACTTTACATCAGTGTCAATATGAAGTGACTTCAGTCTGGAGTAACTCCACTGAAATCATCAGAGTGGCCTATTGTATTGCAGTGGTCTCCAACCTTTTTAAGCATGAGATCACTTTTTGAATTTAAGTGCAATGCAGGATCTACTTCAAACCCAAACACCCTTGCCCTGCCTCCTTCCCTCCCTTTCTCCAGTGCCCCACCCCCGCTCCCTCCCTCCCTTCCCCATCTTCACTTACTTTTATCAGACTGGGGGCAGAGGGATGGGGAGGGGATACAGACACTGATCTTGGGCTAAAGGATGTGGAGTGTGGGAGGGGTTCTAAGCTGAGGCAGGGGCAGAGAGTTGAGGTGCAGGAGGGGATTCAGGGTGCTGGCTCTGGAGGGAGTTTGGGGTGTAGGAGGGGTTCAGGACTGGGGCCAGGGTTCAGATGCAGGGTCTACAGGTGACTTCTGGGTGGTGGTGCAGGGGGCTAAGACAGGCTCACCCTTACCCTGGCCCTGTACTACTCCCAAAAGCAGCCAGCAAACTCTCTCCATCCCTGCTCTCCTCTGCTCTGTGGAGATGGAGTACAGGGAGAGGAAAGGGCACCCTGACATCACTGCCCCCTCCTTATCTTCTTGTGCCCTGCACAGCAAGCAGGAGGCTCCCGGGAGTGGGGAGCACCTCCAAAGTAGACGGCAGGAGCAACACAGCAGTGCTTAGAGGGGCAGATGAAGTGCTGGCACTGAATAGCCTCCTGGACAAACCTGACATGATCACCTGTCAGAGGTCCCAAGATCTACCAGTAGATCCCAATCTACTGGTTGGTGACCACTGGTGTACTGTAAATGAATGGATAATCTGTCCCTTAAGAATCAAGGCCAGAATATCCTAAATGTTCCTGATACAAGTAGCATGTACAGCTGAGGAGACCAAAGGAACTACTCATGTAAGTAAGGGGTTACAGGACTAGACTGCAAGACATGCATTTATATTCTCAACTGCTCACCAGCGTCATGTGTCATGTGATTTAGATCTCCTCACTACCGTGAGCAGAAGCAGTTTTCCTTAGGTTGCTGGTGGTGATAGGTGATTGTGATCTTCGTGTATTACTAAGGGTCCTCACACTTTGCATTTCACTACTGAAGAAATAGTGTATTTGGGAAGTATAAACAGTATTTTTTCCGAAGATATCATTTGGGCCACAATATTGTTAATACATGACTGATTGGGAAATAAATATTGCAGCCTATAATATTCATCATGAATGCGTTGAGTGTTTCAAAATGTAAAAACACATTTTACACTTTGCTTTTGAATAAACAGAGGTCTAAAACAGTGTGTGCATTTTTGTGTGGTTTTGGCTTTCTAATTGTCTCACTGGAGTCATATAAGTATCAACAACTGAACTTTTTTTACTCTAAAACAAATGTATCTTTGTTTCATAGAAGTGAATTACAGAAGTAAGAGATAGACTGAGATTATATGTCTTTTCTATCTTGTGATATAAATTAGAAAAACCTCCAATGCTGTCTAAATTATTATTTAAATTTCAAACTGTTATGTAAACTGATTTTCCACAGAACTAGTACAATTTGAAGGTTATGTGCCAGATTTTATCGGCAACTAAAGATTCTGATAGATGCTTTGCGAGATTTTCAAGTCAATGGGGATTAGAATCCTAATGCGTTTAGGCATTTTTGAAAATCCCACTATACGCATATTTAGGTGCCTAAATAGTTTTGAAAAGCTGTCCTTTGGGTGTTAACATTTCATACTGAGTAATAGATACATAGGACATTTTAAAAAAGAAACACGTAAACATGTAAATGGCTATTTATTTTTCTTCTTGAACAAGAAAAATAAACCTATCACCATTTGATTCTATTTCCAATGTCCCTTTTATAAAAATGTTTTTGCATGTGGCATTCATACAAATACCTTCAAGATAAAAAGTGCCATCCCCTTACATTTACACAGTGGTGTCTAATACCTCAGTCACACAACTCCCATTGATTGTAATGGAATTTGATTTATAGCTAAAATCCTCAGTGTACTGAAAATTCACTCAAAAGGGAATAATATTTCAAGGACTGAAATTATTTATAAATACTCTAGACCCTCCCAAAAGTTCAGTTCTCTAGAGACAGTATGTCACTACTCATTGTTAATTGGTGGTATTACACTTTTAAGTGGACAAGAACAAATAATAGTCATCCTAAACCACTCAACCCACAGGGGAAGATGTCCTCAAGCATTTCAGGCACGGTATTTGTATTCTGGACAAGCCCCATAAGCTAGGTATGAATTGTATGAACACAGAACAAACAGTCGGTCCCCCACCCCAAATGCTTATATTCTAAGTAGCAGGATGATTAAAGCACTCCCGCAATGGTAATTCTGCCTGTGGGGCTCTGTGAAGAATATGTAGCCAAGTGCTCTACATTGACACTAATCTATAAAGAAATGTCAGTATCTAAACAGAATAATTTGGGCCAATCAGATTGCACAGTCTGGAAGTCAGAGTAGACCTTGATCCATTGAGCTAATTTGACTAGAAAATCTGTCCTTTGCTCAACTTGAACAGTGCTCACACAGATACCTGTTAAAGAAATATACCTCATGCATGAAAAAAGAATTATTTCCAATATATTGTGACTAGAAGATTTACCCGGCTTTTCTCGGGTCCTTAAACTCAAAGAAGATTTGTTTTTCTTCATTTAAATCATTGTTCCGGGGTGAGGCTGGGGATGAGGGGTTCAGGATGCAGGCTGCCCTGTGGAGAGAGGACAACCCCAGCCCTCTCTCACCACAGAAGTTTGGGGTCAGGTGAGAAGTCCCTGTCCATGGCCACTGAAGTGGGCACAGTTGGGGGAGGGGTACATGACCCCAGAATGGGGGGACAGTCAAACTGACACACAAACTTTCTGAAACAGATAGTACATAGCTGTTTTTTTCTCTACCCCGTGCTCCCTGCTGTCCCAATGGGGTTATTGCTGTCCTGGTCCCTAGCTCTGGTCCCTTGCTGTCCCCTGAGGTCATTCTACAGTAAAACTGTCCCACTTATCAGACTTCTCCCTTTCCATTTGATGAGAAACAGTCAAATTCTAGGCACATCCCATTGTCTTGGCACAACCAAAACCTGACCTTGCTTTAAGTTATGATAAGAGGAAGCTGCACATGAAATGTGGTGGTCCTAGCGCTTACCAGTTAGGAGGCGTTCTTGAACAAACGGACTCACTGATGGACAGACAGATGCACATTTCTAAAATATATTGTCAGATACAAATAGTAGTGATTGTTTCTATGGAGCCAATATACTCGACAGGTTCAATAGCAGTGGAACTATTTTGGTGAATTTCTCTGTATTTCAAGGAGTGAACATTTATTCCAGATGAATAGGGTCCATGTATACTTCAAGATGGAGCTGTTAATTCCAGCCCAAGGAGACATACCTCTATTCGTTTTAACCAAGCAAGGTAAGCTGCCTTGACTATGTACCCTTCTGAGACACTACGAATATACTTGGGGCCCTGCTGCTGCTTATACTGCTGTGGCAACACTTCTATTTTCAGTGTGCAAATCTGATCAGTGCCAACGTAGGTATGTCTCCTCATATTAGAAATGACACTTCCAGATCTAGACATAACCTTTGGCTGGCTGCAGCTATTCTGAATTGACAATAGTCCTATGTAAAGATTTATCTTTGAGAATATGGATGCAGTACTTGTTCAAGCTTGAATCTGGGGCCAACAGATCACTTCAGCGACAATATTATATTAAGCATAAGTTTCTCAATTGTCCTCATGACATGCATGACATGTCCATATGCAGCTTGTAGATGTATTAAGCATAAGTTTCTCAATTGTCCTCATGAGTATATATGCAGCTTGTAGATTACTTAGAAAAATTGTCTGCTATACAGTATACTACTATTAACCTCAATTATTGAGGTGTTATTGTTTTACTATAATGTTTGCTACAAAAGATGGGAACAATAGTTTGAAGAGGCATCTTCTGGCTTCTTTGTGCATTAGGCTTAGAGTGGTCAGAAGTAATGGGCCAAGAAACTAGACTAGAGAGGTGGCAGTTCTGTTTTTTTGTTTTTAATGTATTAATTTAAATGGATGAATTTACTTTTGGTGAAACAGCCTAAAGCTGGGCATGGTTTACTAGTTAGTCGTTATTCTGAAAGTTAACAGCTGCACTTTTTGACCCTCTCACATTATGTTTTGTCTGTTCAAGAAAAAGCAACATGATTACTGTTTATGGAGATGTTATAAGTAGCTATACTCCATAACTTGCTAGCATTTTCATCGTGGATCTCAAATATAGTGAGTCCTAATTTATGACCCTTCCCTCATGTGGGTCCACTGGAGGCCTTCTTTCCACATCTCCCCTGAGCATATAGAGATATAATAGTCTTAGGTTTTCCAATGGTTTAAAACTTTCAAGCATTGCCACTTGAGTCACTTGTGTAGCTTAAGTCAAAATAGCTTAATTTGGCTTTTGGCGCTATCTACACAGCAGGAAGCCGAAAGAAGAACACTCTCCTTCTTTTCGGACTACTTTCTTCCACTATTTGATCTGAGGAAGTGGGTCTGGCCCACGAAAGCTCATCATCTAATAAACCATCTTGTTAGTCTTTAAAGTGCTACATTGTCCTGCATTTTGCTTCAACTCTCCTTTTGACTTTCCTTATTTCTTGTGAAATGAGGGTTTCCAGGAGTTGGAGTAAGATGCCCTCCAGCTCAACATTATTTTGAAATAAAGGCTTTTAGTGTGGATGCACAGTGTGTAGACATATGCTAAGGAATAATAATCCTGTGTGATCTTTAATGATGTCAAGTGTCCAGGACGCTGGTTTTAACCTCATCTGAATGCTGACACCTCAGCTGTCGCACAGCATAAAGGCAGATCCATGGGCCCCTTCTTCGACTGGGTCCCAACAGTCCTATTCGCACCAACAAATTCAACACCAGCACAAAGCCCTTCTTTCTAGTACACGGGGCGCAGTTTCTATTTTCCTGTAGCATGATAAATTCCTCATGAAATAGCTGCAACTGGGGCTGAAATCACCATCACCAGGAAAAAAAGAAAAGACTGATTTGAATTCTATTCACACTTTGGGGCAGCAATATCCAGGCTTATAAAAGTGATTTTAAAAATAGACTTTAAGGCCAGATCCTTTTGCTGGCGTAAATCAGTGTCACCCTGGTGACTTTAATGGAGTGACACTGATTTACACTAGCTGAGGTTCACAGTCCATATTTCTCACTACTACTATTAAATTATGTTCCAGGCTGCCACTATTCCTAAATGCTGGAATCAATCTCAGTCTATCAGGATTTCCAAAGTGCTTATCACAGTAATATCTGTGCAAGCATGCTCAGCAAGCTATGTCAAGTCCTGAGGTAGAATAACTTTTCAAATTACTGGTCAGAATTTTTTTGTTCAGTTTTCCCCTATCCCCTCCAGAAGAGGGATGATGCCACAGGGCCAAATCTTCCTCATTTTACTTATGTGAAAAGACCCATCACTACTCCTGTGAGAGAGGGCAAAAGGAGCAGGAACACCATTAATCTTTAGTTGTCTGGTTATTTTTATAAAACATCTCAGCTGTTTTGCAGAGCTGTACTTGTGTGTTGAATTTTTTGTGAATATTCTCTCTGCACTAGATTAATATATCCAGACAGAAATGGGCTTGTTTTGCTCTTCCTGGACACAGGTTTTACACCAGTGTATCTCTCCTGGAGTTACCTTTGATTGGCACCAATGTACCAGAACTTATAACTGTATCATCCTTTCTCCTTAATGCCATGTAGGAGTAAGCAGAGGATTTGACTCTTGGGGCATGATTTTGCAGATATTTAATACTGAGTGGAGTATTTACGAGGTCAATGGGACTATTCTTTGGAATTAGAACTACCCTCGGTAGTAAGCATTGGCAAGATTTGGCCAAAAATGTGGTGTTATGGAGGGTTTAGAGCTGTTTGTGCCTTTCTCCTACATTAATTCCCTTCCATAATGACTTATTGATATGTAAAAATATATGTCATTTCCATTGAAAAATGGCAAAGTTCCATGCCATAGGGTATAACTGGGTGTACAATGCAATGGACATTAAATACTTATTATATATTAGCTCATGACGTAGCCTGAGAGGAACCGTCATGCAACCTAGATGTTAGGTTTATGCCATAAATCACTGAGCACACCCAGTGAAAAAGATTATGTGGTTGCTCTAATATTACAATCTACAGAGCTGATCTGTTGCCCGTTGAAATTGAATGCCCAACCCCCAGTGACATTTAAAAAGCTGCAGGATCAGACACTATGTTTACAGTGATGACAAGTTCAGTGCTATTAAGCAATACCTGAAAACCATGTTTAAGTCAAATCTGCAAGGGGAAAACTATAAATACCTTTCTATCCTGATCTCGTAAGGTTATAGGTTAAGTAGGTTCGCTCTAATCTCAATGTGTGACCCAGCTCCATGCCGATTGGTTGCATAGCTAATCTCTTTTCCATTGACAGTGCTGCCTGCTGTTAGTTGTAATAAGGACTGTGCACACTAGATGTCCTCAGGAGAACACAGATACTTCATTCTGAAAGTGTCAGGAAAAGGCTGACCAATATAACAATGAATTCTTATGACTTGTCATTCTTCAGCCCCTCACCACAGACATATTTTTTAAATGTGCACGTGGACTGGGACTTTTAAAGGGTGGGGCCCACGTCCTGTGGGAGGCCTATGGAATGGAATAGATTTGAAATCCTAGACTTCAAAATAAAGGTGAAGTTGAAAATGATCCCTTGCCCAATAATTAGGCCTTAGCTCAGTGCATTGCCCGGCACACGCCGAAGTGGCCACAAGCTGTTTTCTTACACCTGTTTGACAATGAGCCGAGAGGAAAGACCATAGGGCTCTTCCCTCATCGGACCCTTAACCAGAGACAGCAGACACTGGCTTGCAATGGAGTGAAGATGCACAGTGAAGCAAAGGTAACCATAAAGGATGGGGCAGTTGGGGCATGGGAGGTGGTTTCAGGGACTTGGTCTGGGTATTCTGCATGAGGGCTGGGTGGAGGCAGGGACTGAGGGGGAGGTGGGTATCAGGTATAGACAGAGAGCATAGTGGGTGCTCTGCTTGGGGAGTGAGAAATACTGAAGCGTGGGAGGGAGCAGGCTAAGGGGGTGTCTTAGTAGACAGCCTCTCTCTCCATGAGGGTAGCCGCTCCTGACTTGATCTTGAGTGCCATTCTGGCTGCTCTGGCCTTTTTGGCCCTGCTCTCATCTTCACCTCTAGAAGTTGCAGAGCCCTGCCCACCATGAGCAGCTGAAACAATTCACTTAAAAATAACACATGAGGTGGGAGCATAGATCAGTGGCTCCCAACAATATAACCATAGCAGGGGCACTAGCTCACACCCCACCTTCTGCGTCTGCCATCTCCGTCTGTAATAGCCCTTTTGTTTCAGGAAAAACAGTGTGACATTCAAGTTTTCCTGCAAGAATGATGACATTTAAGGACTGATTCTTGCCCATATGGTCTAGTACCTTCTTCTGCAAATAGTTCCATTCATTTAATTGGAACTATTCATGGATCTGCACTGCAGGGCTTAACTCGAAACGAGTCATGCAAAATTGAGCTAGATCAATTGCGTAGCTTATTTTGAAATAGGGAGCATTTACACCGCACTTATTTCAAACTAGAGCACTCTTTCTCCGACTTCCCTTACTCCTCATACAATGAGGGTTACAGGAGTCCTCCATTTTGACAGTACTTAGACATTATTTCAAAATAACTGCCTGCTGTGTAGACGCAGACTAAGTTATTTTGGAATACTGCTAGTTATTTTGAAATAGTGTTGCGGTGTAGAAGTACCCTAAGTCTGGGCAAAGGGGATAAAAGCTCACCTTTGATGTGATGTTTCTATTCAGAGGAACATCATTTTAGTTTTGGAACGCATGCTAAATTTAATTAGCTAAACATTTCTGTGTAGAGTGAAACAGAAGCTGTTAGATTTCGGCTACTTTTAAATGTTTCAGTAAAAGATGTTTTGTCTAAATATTATCAGTCACTTTAAATCATATTCACTTCACCATGTCATTTGCCAAAGGGGATATTGCCCAGGAGATATTAATATTTTCACTTGGTCCCATGGGTGAATTTGGAGATTGGAACCAGAAAATTAGCCATGCTACATGTATCCCTTATGGTGTGGTTTCCAGCAGGGCTTACTCCTGCGTCAAGGAAGATTATGGCTAATAGGATTTGGTCATTGGAAGCTACTGGCATGTCTGGTACAACCCCCGTGCTTTCTTAAAGGAGAATATGGACTCCATTTGTCGCATCATTTTTCTTCTTCTGTCCTTTTACAAGATAAACCCAGCTCTTTCTTCTTGTGTTATAGGATGCTCCTGCTCCAGTGACAGCTTTGGAAGGTAAGAAATCTTGGCATCTTATTGATATTCTGCAGAAGAATTGTTTGGAGATTCTAGTATGGACTGGGCAGTCTTGTGAATATTGGCCAGGAATAGATGGCTGCATGTTGGGGATAGCTCTAGCATTTCTGAGTATCGCTAGTTTGGATACAAAATACATTTTTATTGGGATACTTTTTTTCTTTTGCAGGGAGGGGGAAATCAACCATGTTGCATTGCTTATGGAAGTGTCCTGTTTATAATTCTTCCAGTACCCTTTATACATATGAGGTAGAGCAGTTTGCTAGCCATGAGTGCAGTGCGTTAGCTAAAGTTTTACTGGTTTTCTTTCTAGGAGTTTGCTGTGCATGTCTACATCCTTGAGAAAGATACCTGGAGACATTCCACAAGACATCAAAAAAATTAGAATAGAAAACTCTCATTTAACAGAGCTGCCTCGTGGGTCCTTCTCCAATGCCAGTGCCTTGGAATATCTCTGGCTGAATTTCAATAACATTACAGTTATGCACCTGAAGAGCCTAGAGTACCTGAAGGATTTGACAGAGCTGAGACTGCAGGGAAACAAGTTAAGTTCAGTACCATGGACAACATTTCAAGATACTCCAGCTTTAAAAATATTGGATCTAAAGCACAATAAACTGGATGTGCTTCCAGAACATGCACTCAGGTATCTGCCCAACCTGACCTACTTAGACTTATCCACAAATCAGCTTACTATCATATCCAGGGATGTTTTCTATAATTGGCCTGTGTACCAGAAAACCCAGCAGCCTGAGAGGAGGATGGAGGCTATTTCCAACGCGGTCCTGGCTTTACATGATAACCCATGGATCTGTGACTGTCGCCTTAGGGGATTTGTCCAGTTTATCAAGTCTCTTAGCCCACCTGTCATTCTGATGAATTCTTATTTAACTTGTTCAAGCCCTAAATTTAGGGCAGGAAAGTTCTTTCATGAAGTGGAGCTCAACAGTTGCATGAAGCCATTAACCTCCTCCCTTGACTCCAACCTGACAGTACAGGTAGGATCGAATGTTACTATGGCCTGCTTGGTACAAGGCAGCCCCTCCCCAGCAGTCTGGTGGACCTATGGCCTAAAACATTTGAGAGCATTTAATGGTAAGCAATAGCGTTTATTTTTTATTTACCGTGTAAGAAGTGGGAGTCAGTTCTTTGCCTACCACTGAGTCATACAACACCTAACCATTACAATTATTTGAAATAACAGCAGTTTCTGCCAGAAACAGCACAGAGCAGTCAGGAGACAAAGTCCAGCAAAGCTATTTCAAGTAGGATTTCAGAATCAATATGCAAAGTGAGAAGCGGAGACATTCGCCCACATTACTGGGATCATATGTATGGCGAAGGACAGAAGGCTGTGAAAAAGATACATTATCCAAGGGCTTCCTGGCTTTTTCCTGCTAACATTTCTTAAGTTCTTATGGCCTTGCGTACAGATGATAAAGCAGCTGTTCTCCAATGGCTAATATAAACCCCTGCATTTTTCTACAAACCAGAATATATTCCCCTGGTTTTTGCATAAAACAATAGGTCACAGAGTCTGGCTGCTTTATTCCCTTTTTGATTTTGTCACTCTTAATGAGGTCCCCTTTTCTCCAAAGACCACAGTACTAAATTCATTACCATTCTGCTTTCTTAGTCTGTAGCTTAGAGCCTTATGAAACTCCATCTCATACTGAGTGCCTCCCGGAGTGCAATTTATGTATTTTCCTAAGATCATTTCTATGTTTTCTACACAGAATTCTGAGTGGTACCACAATGCCTGACACTTAAATTCAATAGTTTTAGTTATGAGTCCCAGAATATGATTTGCTTTTATTTTAATGTTCTATCAGCATTTTCATTTTCCCTTAACAAGCTGTATATTATATCAATTCTATACACTTTTCTCTTGCCATATGCCCATAACTACTAAACCTAGATAGATTAGAGCAAATATTTTCAACAGGTAGTAAAGATTGTTTTCCAGTTTCTATTGCAACCCACCAGTTGCTCATATTTTATTCAACAAATTCCTTTGAGGCTGAAATTTGCATTTGCTGGTATAATGGATGATAGAATTTGGCCCAGAATAAATGTCTGTGTCCATTAAAACACTTTTGCTTTGATTTATTATCACTTATGTAAGCCATTTGAACTGCAGAGCACGTAGAAGTGAGGAGGCTTTTCCTGGGAGATAAAAAGAACTGTTTGTGCTTTCCCCCCATTTTTTTTAATGATTACCTCTATATTTAGAAAACTTGTCTATGTATGAGTGTACATCAGTAATCCAGCACACTCATGAGCAAATTTACAATAATAACCAGTAAGACAACAGGAGAAATATGATTACAATACTGTAAACCATCACTACCATCCCAGGAACTAGGGAGATAAGAGATTTCAATCAAAGAACTGAAAATGTTTTCCTCTAATGTTGATCTCAGTTGTGTATCTACCTAAGCCTGGGCACCCTGTCTAGCAATAATGTGGTGTGGAGAGGGCCGATGAAGAAAAGTTATTTATTAGTTCCCTAAATAGAAGAACTAGAGGACACCAAATGAAATGAATGGGGAGCAGGTTTAAAACTAATAAAAGAAAGTTCTTCTTCACACAGCATGTAGTCAACCTGTGGAACTCCTTGCCAGAGGAGGCTGTGAAGGCTAGGACTATAATAGAGTTTAAAGAGAAGCTAGATAATATCATGGAGGTTAGGTCCATAAAAGCCTATTAGCCAGGGGATAAAATGGTGTTCTTGGCCTCTGTTTGTCAGAGGCTGGAGAGGGATGGCAGGAGACAAATCGCTTGATCATTGTCTTCGATCCACCCTCTCTGGGGCACCTGGTGCTGGCCTCTGTCGGCAGACAGGATACTGGGCTAGATGGACCTTTGGTCTGACCCAGTACGGCCGTTCTTATGTTCTTATGTAATATTCAGTGTCTGGGCCTAGGTAAATTTTTGCTGACCTGGCACACCTATATTGAATGTAGTCCTGACACCTGTGTTCTGCATTTCCCAGGAACAAGTGGGCTATCCTGTCCCTGACCTATTTCTCCCCTCCTCTCCAATGCACACACCTGTTACGTGATGTCATGTTGTTCCTATTAGATGGAACATGATTCAGTGAGTTAAACTGGTTAGCAAAGTGCAGGGAAGAAGTAGCCAATATTTTCATGACATTTTATGTCTGGGGTTAGTTTTTGTTGGGGATTTCGAGTCATAATGTCCTAATCTATCAAGAAATCCTTATGCATCTCAGAATCTGACAGTCGGGTTGAAGAGAAGTCTGGTACCATTGTGCCTATGACACAGCTGGAGGGGAGTTGTACAAACTGACAAGTCTGCTCTTGCTCTCTTTTTCTCCCCAGTGTCCACTACACACATCAATGAAGATACAATGAAATCAGAACTGGTGATTCCTTCAGCTCACCTTATGGATGAGGGCAATTACACCTGCATGGCTGCCAACTTCATTGGCAACACCTCTACCATAATCTCTCTGAAAATTCAGGCTCCCAGAATGGTAGCTTCTTCCTCGTCTTTCTCTTCCTCGATCTCTGATGAGAATATCTATGTTGACGTGAGGATTGCCAAGCAGACAGTGTATGGGATTACACTGGAGTGGTATGCAGTGACTGAGAATCCCGGAGAAACTTGGTACACCCTCCACTTCGGGAAGTACGATGACTCCAAGAAGGAGATGATTTACATTGGCCCTGGCACCAACACATACTCAGTCAACGACTTGCTCCCAGCGACCAAGTACGAGGTGTGTGTCACTTTAAGGAACCAGGCACCCCGGAAGGGCCAATGCATTGTCTTTGTCACGGGCAGTGACATCAGTGAATTGGAGCAGAGGGAGAAACTCATCCACATCATCATCATTGTGTGCGCCATGGTGCTGGCAGTGCCTGCTGGGATGTATGCGTGCACCACGGAGACCCGGCTCAACTGCATGGAGAAGTGTGCTGCATTCTGCCATCGGAATCGCAAAGGGCAGAAGAACCTGAAAACAGGAAACAAGGAAAACACTTTTGACAGCTTGCCAACCGGCAGTGAGGAGGGGCTGTGTTATCAAGACTCCAGTGAAGACAAGAGAAAGCCAAGGTCCCCAGAGGACAAGGAGAAGCCAAACAAACACAAGCCTAACCACAGAAATAGCGCTGATCTCTATTAGCTGATAAATTCAACCCCATATTAGATTAGAGCAAGTTGAAAATAGATGGATCAACAACAACAAAAAACCCACCCTAAGTCCCATGTTACGTAATTACTGGGCAAGTGATATGCAGCCACACAACCTTGTTTTTCAAAAAGTTTTGCAAACATATGAATCTTTAAGGAAAAATAGGGCTATTGTTAAGCAGGAGAGTAAATAAAGACATGTACATTACTAGCAGGGAAACCAATATACGTACTTCCAGCTACCTGGGAAATTCAATTGAATAGAAGACAGAAACATGGAATTGTAATTGTTACAGATTATTCATACATGCAGTACTGTCCCCACCCCTCTCTCACACACACACCACACACTTAACTAGTTGAGCCACAAAAGGCTTCTTCAGTGGTTACTTGCAGCTTAATGCTGATAGTGATGAAATGAAATTCTAGGGGTGCGTCGACACTGCACCCTTTGCTTGAAATAACATACGCGAATTGCACTACGCAAATTACGTATCTTATTTCAATTCTTTTTTGAAATAAGCTATTTCGAAATTTGGCGCATCTATACAGGCCCAAATTTCAAAATAACACACTGTTTTGAAACATCCTTTATCCCTCATGGAAATAGAGGACGCATTCAAAAGGCACAGGGTAGCTATTTTGGGATCCCAGAGGTATCCGGAAATAGCATTGCAGTGTAGATGTACCCTAAGTTACTCTCTCACTTGCTTAGCTATATTGATCATAGCAAGTTTCAGCAATGGGAGAGCATTGGTTTTGACACCTCATGACTGAATACATGGCTTTATCTCATGCTGTTCGGAGTCTCTTTATGCATCGCAGCAATGATTTTCTTTACAATCTTGTTTCACTTGCTTATAACGTTCCACTTGGGGTTGTACCTCTCTATAATTTTGGTCTGAATACAAATGATCATTTCTTTCTTTTTTTTTTTTTTTTGCTGGGTTAAATTCACAGAAAAAGACAATGTTGACTGTTTTTGAGCTAGCCCCATGTGAAAATAGGCACTATTTTCTTCCTTTTGAAGGACATTTAAGAACTAGCTTGCACATAGAAGATTGAAAAACAGCTGTCCTTCATAACATTAAATGGCACATGGGGTTAGTCTTCAAAGGGGAATAGTCTTTGATTATTTGAAACAAAATGACAGCTAAATGTTTAGTTGTGCTACTACGGCATTACATTAACAACTGCATAGCGAGTGTACTAGCTAAGACCCAGAACCTGAAAGGAGCAATACCTCTGAGACTGGGTCTCATTGTCTTTTTAATTAAGCTTTACAACTGGTTCAAAAATGCCAATTGTTTTATACAGAAATCTTTTTAACCCCCTCCCGCCTCAAAACTTCTTATATTTTTTTCCTGGTTTTCCAAAGAAAACCCCAGACGTTTTCACAAACTTGTTCAATATCTTCAAAAAAACTTTTTCTTCTGTGGAAAAAAAAAGTTTTCATGACAAAAAAAATTGGCCAGATGTGTTAAGGATCAACCCCAGAAACTTTACTTAGGCAAATAATTGAGTTTTCAAATGTAACAGTTATTCACAACTCCAGATTGCTAAAGCCAGTGGCCTCAGCCAATTGAAGAAAAATGGGTTCCTGCTTTCTCTGACCCCACTCCAGGCAGGAGTGCTGGGCATGTGAGACTGGCTGGGGGAAGCCCCAGTAACCTGACCCTGGTTGCAGCCTTGGGACTGGAGGAACTTTAGATCCTTGATGGAGGAACTTTAGATCCTTGATGCAGTCTCAAGGTTGGGGGCTGTGATCTACACTGGGAAGTTGTTTTGAAAGAACTCCCCTTTTTTTGAAGTAAGAAGTGGAGCATCCACACTACCCAGCCCAGGGAGCTCCTACTGTCTGCAGAAGCCCTGGGGCCGTGGCAAGGTGAGAAAGACAGAGAGCTGCTCCACTCTAGGGGACGCAGTGGGGAAGGCCAACAGGAGCAAAATGGTTGTGGGGCTGTAATGGGGGTTGCAGAATGAGGTGGATTGTGGTGGAATGGGATGCGGCTGTAGGGGGGCAGGGCAGAATAGGGTAGGGCCATGGGCGGGACTGCGAGTGAAAGTGTGGCATGGGGACAGGACTCTGGGTGCAAGGGGAGGAAGGGGTCCCACAGTTGCTCTGGCCTCATGAAACCTTAATTTGCTTCTGGATAAAGCTGCAGTTTTCTCCATTTTTCCTTTTCCCTTTTTTCCTTTGGCACGTATAGACATAGCTAGATGTGCTCGCAAAAATTAGATTCTAACTACAGAAGGAAATCCTGACGAAATTCTCATTGGCTTCACTGGGGATCATATTTCTCCCACAGGCTCTGTTTTTGCTTTTCTAGTAAGTCCCCTGTACACTAGTCTGACAGTGTAACCCAGCTCACATCTTTAATGCCGAATGGATAACTCGAATAGTGCAGCTCCCTGCTGTCTGTATCCTGGCAGGGAATTATTAACCACCTCCCTCACTTGTGTTCTCTGCACTTACAGAAAGGTGTCAGGCACGCCACAGATTGCAGAAGTTCGCTGGATTGTGACTCTTCTAGAGGAACAGTAGCTACTGAGGCAGCTCTGTGTTCTCTGCAGAATTTTTGAACCAAAGGATGATTTTAAAAGGGGGAATCCTTTAACTTAGCAATTATAATGATCCGTATAGTGAGACCCAACTATATGATCAGCTTTGTGCAGAACATAGGGAAAAACCACCTCCTGTCCTGTATTAATTATTGATTTGTATTATATGCATTGTGATAGCATGTAAATAGGATCCCCAGGCTAGATCCTCTTTGGGCTAGGTGCTGAATGGACACAGAACAAAAACATGCCCCTGCGCCAATGTCCTTACATTTGAACACCGAAGTTTTCCCTTAAAATGTAAGGAAAAAATCAGGGTGAAAAAGCAATTACAAACCTTCTAACAGTGTAGTTACAGCTGTGTTTCTCAGGAGTTGGAAGATACTTCTGCCCTCCTGCTTTAAAACATAACCAAGACGTGACTATCTGGTATAAATACAAATGGGTTGCTGTGGAAAGCCTCAGAAAACCCAGTAGAGCTGAAAACAGTGCTGTAAGTGGATTTTAATAAGCTTGGCTGAGATTCACGTTATCTCCTAGGTTGTATGGCAACACGTTAGTAACAAGAAGTAAACAATGTTTCCATAGGGCTTTTACATGGGGCTACATTTTCTTCTCTATTGCTTATCAATTTCACAATTTAGTGTACATATATTTAGCTATAACTATATAGTTAATTGCTCTCAACTTGTACTTTCCAGTTTGTTTTAAGTGGCTGTGTAGTCTTCCCAGTTCTTAGTTGTAAAATATGGTTTTAAAATAAAATAATTGATTTTCAGAAGAGGCAGAATTGTACGCAGTCATGAATTTTACAGCCTTGTGCGTGTGTGGTCTTTTTCATATACTTGCCCTATTTGAAAAGAAACCTGTACAGTCAGTGATTAAATGGTCTCACCAAAAGATCCTGTAACGTCTATACTGCAGCGGTGATGATGAGAGTGAAGGAGTATCAAAGGATGATCGTGGCACATTAAAGGGGTTGGTCTCAGCCCTGTGTCTGCTAAGGTAATATTTTCTTCAGGCAGTGGAGGCTGAGGTTTCTGAGTGAGCCTGTTTAGTCTGATGGGGGAGATTTTCAGGGAGGAAAGTTCTTGCAGGACATCCAGGGTCACCTGTAGAAAGACTTTCCTGTAGTAGAGCCAGATGGGGTGCAGACAGAGCTAGTGGGCTCTCTTCCGTGGGCTTACACTCAATGTCCTTACATTTGAACGTTTCCTCAGGAGACATTCTCTTCCGGAAAGAGGTAGCGAGCCCCAGAAGGGGCTGGGGAAAAGCCCAAAGATGGGTTGATCTAGGAAATAGTCCATGAAGGCAAGCAAAGGGGTATGAGGAGGATTATTGCTTGTGAAGGGGTCCCTGGAGAGGAATCCAAAGCAGGAAGGCCTGGGTCACTTTATAGGAGGGATGAAGGCCTATTGAGTCTGGCAATGGACTGAAGACTCCAGTGTGGCTGAATGATTGTTGTGTTGGATTTTTCATTTACCCCCTTGGAGAAGACATCATGTTTTGCCTGGGGGCTAAATCATTAAACAGCCCTAGAATCTGCCTAGCTCAGAGTGGGCCACTGAAGGGCCTGGAGAAGAAGGGAAACTGAGCCACAGAGCATGTACCAAGGTGGGAAGTTTTTTTTTAATTTCTAAGACACTAAATGTCTCATTGAGGCATGTAACAAAATGCATCTTCAAAAAGGGATTCACTTAAAATGAATGCAAGTGAGTAGTGCTCCCTCCAGAGCACAGAGACCAGCTGGCATCTGACAAAAGAAACATTGGCTTATAACTAATGCAGGGGAATATGCTAATGACTGAGTCTGTTCTGCTTGATCTTACAGTCTCATGCTATCTAATGATGGGTTGTTCCATAAAGATTAGCCTGAGACTTGGCCTACACGTCTGTGCAGAGGAATAGGAACCCCTCTGATGCTCCTGTACAGGTTACTTCTACACTGCGCTTTGCTCCAGCCCCAGTGTGCCCACCTGCCTGGGGATACTATCAGTTCTGCTAATACATGCCATTGGCAGAGCGCTATCTCCCAAAGCAGGAAGGGACTTGTGCCTCAGGAGGGTGCCTCTTGGGTAACTCGTGGGGCTGTGTCAAAAGGCACAATTTGGCCCTTTGTGTCTTGACATTAAATGTGGCTTGAACGCTCTCACCTGGGTGCCTAGCTGAACGTGTCCAATTCTAATGGTGGGTACGCAACCCACTCGCAGGGGCCTTAAGTTCAACTCCTGCAGACCTAACGTAGGAGCAAGGGCCTGAGCTGCCTGCAGGACGGGGGACAGGGAGAGTGTTTGTGCAGCGCCTCTTCCCACAGGCGCCCCTGAGAACTGGCTCACATTGGCTGTGGCATCCCTGGCCAATGGGCGCTGAGGAAGCAGCATTTGGGGCAGTTCCTGTGGGTGGGGGGCAGCCTCCCTATCTGTCCAAGCACCCGATGAACATGCTGCTGCATCCTGGGAAATTCACAGAGTCTGCCTGACCCACTTTAAGCGGCCTAATCCATTGTACTGAGTGGAGCTGCCAGAGTCCCTTTTTGAGCAGGCATGCTGCTTGAACATCAGATGCCTGCCAACCTTTGGAGCCAACTGAACAAACTGTTCTGCTCCCTTTCTGGGCAGGAGAGCATGTCCTTATTCAGACACAACTCCCAGCTCCCAAATACGTTGGTTTTAGCTCACAAATACAAACATTTTTAAAGGAAATTTTACACTTCAAAAGCACTTCCTGGCTGAAGAAGAGGTCTGAGGTCTGGTGGACCAAAAAGGAAGAGGAATAAGGGATCTTTCGGAAAAGGATTTATTTTCCGAAAGATCCCTGTCTAGACTGGCGCTTTTTTCTGGCAAAGCTCCAAGCCGGAAAAAAGCAGCAGCCATGTTTATGCAAATGAAGCGGGGAGGATTTAAATCCCTGCTTCATTTGCTATTGTGATGTGTCTAATTTGCATCCCTTTTACGGAAAAGGGATGCAGTCTAGACACAGCCTATAAGAAAAGCGAAAGCACCTTCTGCTTAAGGCCGTGTTTCTGAAAGTGGTCCACAGATCCACGCTGAGAAACCTATTAACTGGCCACTGTGGTTTGTATATTTACTGGCTCCACAGCCACGGAGCCTCATGGCTCCCTTTGGCTCTGGTTCGCCGTTTGCAGCCAAGGGGAGCTACGGGAAAACATTACCGAGCCTTAATGGGTAGATCATGACTTAGGAAGATCAAGCTGAACTGGGCAGAAGTGCACCAGATAACTAAAGAAGAAACAGGTCTGACTGGTTGTAACCAGGCTCACCTCACTGCCATGGGCGCCTCCTGCTGGTCACTCAGGAATTAACTTATTCTGCCCTGGAGCTCCCCCTTTTGGCTGGTGTCTCACCCACGGTGACCTACATTCTCCACTTCTGGCTACTGCCCTATCACAGTGCCCTCCCCCTCTGGGGTCCTCCTCCTCTGGGAACCCCCAACTCCCTATGCCCACCTTGCCTCAGTGACCCACTGCCAGTCTTCATCTAGCCCATGCCTCAGGGGCAAACTGCAATCTGAAATGGCTACTCATCATTGGCAAAGGGCACGGATCTGCTGCCTTTGCCTCCCCTGGGTGTCTCTCTGCAGCCCTCATAGCCTCAGGCCTTGCTTCATGCACTGCAGCCTGGGAGCTTGCCTGGCCAGATCTTCCCCAGCTCTGCCTGTCTTCCCCAGGCCTACTCTAAGTCAGGAAACTTCCAGCTTCCCTAGCAGCCAGGTCCCTCCTGCTCCCCAGCTAGAGCAAGAGTGAGTCTCAGTCTCTTCCCTTCCAGGAGCCTTTATTTACATTTTGCTCAGCTGGGCCCGAAGTAGCTAGTACCTGCTGCAGCTGCTGGTTCCACAGCTCTGCTGCTCCACCTCTCTCCCGGGCTGGGTTTTAACCCTTAAAGGGCCAGTGTGGGGCAGATGCTCTGTCACACTGAGCTAGTAAAGAAATATGCTCCTTTTGGAGAGGATCTGGACAGTATTAGGGGAATCACTGTGAAACTGAACATTAAATCTGGCAGCCAACCAAAATATCTGAAGGCCAGAACTGTGCCATATGCCATGAAGCCAAAAGTTGAAGCGGACCTGGAGTGCCTAGTCAAAAATGGAGTCCTAATACCAGTTACCTGTAGCCCCTGGACAACCCCAATTATTCCAATATGGAAGAAAGATGGTTCTGTTTGGATTTGTGGAGATTTTAAGGTCACTGTTAACCCAGGTTGTGTGCAGAGCAATATCCTCTTCCCTGCCTCAATGACCTTTTTGTGAGCCTGGCTGGGGGCACAAAAGTTTAGCAAGACTGATCTGAGTCAAACGTATTTACAGATGCACGTTGATGAAAAGTCCCAAGAGCTGTTGACTATTATGACATATAAAGGGCTTTATCGTTACCCTTTGGAATAACGTCTGTCCCACCTGACTATTATGACATATAAAGGGCTTTATCGTTACCCTTTATCATTTTCACCCGGACTGTCCGTTATCCAGGTCCCCCGTCCGGTTAAAAAAAAAATACCAGAGATGTGAAATGTCTGGTATTTCCTGTTTCCCTTGGATGGAAGCCTGGCGGCAGGAGTGAGGAGTGCGGGGCCATTTAAAGGTGCAGTGCCCCCCCTTTTTTTTAGCTTAAAAACTTTGGTATTCCCCTTTTTTTTTCTCAACAGAATTTTTTCCCTGTGGTATTTTTTTGGGGGGTGGAGAAGTGTTTGGTATTTTTTGTTAAACCATCTGGCAACCCTAGTACCATCTTTGTTCCATAGGCTATGGACCAGATCTTGTGTGGCTTGCTAGGAGTCCAGTGCTAGCTTGACAACATCCTGGTCACTGGTAGGAATGAGGAGGATCACCTTATGAACTTAGAGGCTGCCCCATAAAGACTGGGAGACTATGGCCTACGAATCCACAAAGGCAAGTGTGCATTCTTTCAGCACTCTGTTGAATATATGGGACACATCACTGATGTTACCGGCCTTCGTAAAGGCCCCTGCAAAAGTCAAGGCTATTGTGGAGGCTTCAACCTCTCAACTTCACTCATTTCTAGGACTATTGAACTATTATGGAAAGTTTATCTCGTAGTTAGTCACACTGCTAAAACCGCTTCATGAGCTCCTTGGCCAGAACAAAGCCTGGAAGTGGACTAAGTCTGTGATGCTGCATTTAACAAGGCTAAATGTGCATTGCTAAACTCGGAGGACCTGACGTATTTTGATCCATCCTTACCTTCACAGTTGGCCTGTGATGACTCTTTCTATGGAGTGGGAGTGGTCTTGTCACACATAATGTCTTTGGGAGAAGAGAGACCACTTGCTTTTGCTTCATGCACTTTAAGCAAGACAGAAACTAACTATGTACAAATTAAGCATGCAGCATTGGGCATTGTTTTAGGGATTCGGAAATGTCATCAGTACCTGTTTGGAATATTTTTATACTTCTCACCAACCATTGACCTCTGACTGCAATTTTTGGTCTGAAATATTTTTATACTTCTCACCAACCATTGAGCTCTGACTGCAATTTTTGGTCTGCGTACAGGCATTATACAATTGGCTGCTAGTCGTATGCAACGATGGGTATTGTGGCTTTCTGGACACACGTTTGAGATCAGATATCAGAAATCCACTCTGCATTGTAATGCAGATGGTCTCTCAAGGCTGCCTTTTCTTGTCAAACATCAAGATAATGGCATTCATCACATCACTTCAGCACTGTATCACCCATACACCAATGGATTAGCTGAAAGGTTTGTGCAGACAATGAAACAAGCTTTGAAAGCGGCTAGAGGACATTCACTCATGCAAAAGCATCTGGACACTTTCTTATTATCCTATGGGAACACACCTCATACTACAACCAAATTGTCCCTGGCCTTTCTAATGTTGCTGTGCACTTTCTCTGATCTGCTGAAACCTTCTGAACAATGACAAAAACCAGCAAGGTCAAGTCATCAGGCGTGAATACAGAGCAAAAGACCACAGATGTTGGTCACAGATGTTGCTGGACCACAGAGTCCTGGATTTTGGAGGTTCCACCTGTAGTACTAATTTCATTTCCATATCAAATTTGCTCTGTTTCTGCATCAAGGTCGGGGGTTTTTTCTAGCTGCCAGCTCTGCCTTTTAGAATTCAGCAGCTTTTCAAAGCTCTTTGCCCTCTTGCTATATGTCACCTGCAGAAGAACCCGCAACTTTTGCTGTTGACAGGAGTCAGAAGAGAATCACTTTCCTATGAATAATTTTGGTCATCAAAGGAAAACTGTCTGACTTGCAGGTACAGAATGGACAACTTCAATGCTGCCTTTTTTATAATATTCTAAAATTTAAGCTAAAGCAGCACAAAATAGGAAAGATGCCACAGCTAAGAGAAACAAAAAACACAGATACCATAAGTGATGGACACCTTTTATAGATTTTATTAATAAAAGCATCTGTAATACAGTGTAACGGGTAAGAACACCTGTATTCATTGAAAAAAAGTCTCACAATATATAATAAAACATCTTTTTCCTCTTAAATGTTTCTTTAAGACTATAATCTTATCATTCCAAGTAAGTAAATGGCCCTTATGGCTCTTCATATCATAGAACAAACAATAAATACTGACAGAAATACAGCATCATGGAGACAGGAGCAGAGACAATTGTTATAAGCTTTTGGTATGTTATGAAATGTATAAACAGATTCAGAAGTATACCAAATGAAATGTACAGAAAATTCCTTCTAGTCAGCAAAACCATTTGTGTATGACACAGAGTGCTCCTCCTGATCCAGTTAGGAAGTTACCTGGCTATCCCTGGGGGTGGGGTTTGGTCTCTAATGCAGAACTGTGCAAATGCTGCTTGCTGCTGTTTTGTAAATGGTGCCATAAGCTGAACATTTAGGCAAACATTAATGTCACAGCTGGCCAGAATGCAGGGGTCTGAGCCTCAGCTCGTGTAACCTGGCCTCGCTCCTCTGAACTCAGGCAGATTTACACAAACTGATGAGATGATCCTTCAAGTCTAGCCAGACCCCAAAGAACAAGAGCCAATAAAACACTGTTGTGCTAGATACTAGTGATGAAGAAATGAAAGAACCAGGGGAAAGTTATCAGGAGCAGCAACAGTAGCAACCAGATCTGCATAGAAAAAAAAAGCAAAACTAGGCTTGCCACCTGACTTCAGAGGAGTGATGCTAGCAGAAAATTTTGTCCCAAGAGTTTTGTGCTACGAGTCAGTTGTCACCACTGTTAAAAGCCACTATTTCTTTTCTTTTAAAACATGCCGCATTTCTACACATTTGCCTTCTGGACCACTGTTAAAAGCCACTATTTCTTTTAAAACATGCTCCATTTCTACACATTTGCCTTTTGAGGACTAGCAAAAGCACAATTAAACTTTGTTTTAAGTAAGTGTTTCAAAGTCACGTTTTCCCTACTTAGCCATTCTTTGCACAGTTCTACTTCACAACAGATGCTTCTTAATTGATTTGGATAATAAAACATGTACATTGGTACCATTTGGTGCTCTGTAATCCTCATCGCTAGACTTCAGTGAATCATTGCCCTTCAGTGTGAAAGTACCTCTACAAAGCAACATTATTTTGAAATAACTAGTGTTATTTTGAAATAACTTAGTCTGTGTCTACACAGCAGGCAGTTATTTTGAAATAATGTTGAAACACTGTCAAGCTGGAAGACTTTTTACTCCGACTCCTGTAACCCTTATTGTATGAGGAATAAGGGAAATTGGAGGAAGAGTGCTTTATTTCAAAATAAGGGCTGTGTAGATGCTCCCAGTTTCGAAATAAGCTATTTTGAAATAAGCTACGCAATTAGTGTAGTTCAATTTGCATAGCTTATTTGGAGCTAAGCCCTGCTGTACAGTCACACCCTGAGACTTTAAAAAGAAATAGCTCCAATAATTAGTACAATTGCTTTGCAGATAGATAGATAGAAATCCTAGATTTTGTTGCTGTATAGGGTATGATACTCTAGTCCCTTACACCAGTTTTAGGTCAGTGGTGCTCTAGGGATGGAATGGAATGGAGGCTCAGACTCATAGGCCAAACACAGTCCTAAAGTACCATTTATGGCACTGTGCAATGCCTCACAGTACATGCCATACCTAGCTCCAGCCCGTTTGAAATCTCACTTCCCTCAACTTGATAAGTGAAATTTGCTCCTCTTCTCTTTTACGAGAAATGTATCCAGAAATCAATGGAAGTAGTAATAGTTTGGAATGTTCATAGCATGGGTGGGACTGCGCCAGGCTAACCCAGGCACAATTTTCTTGAAGCCAATGGTGTCATACTGTAAATGGGCAGAAATCTCAGCTAAGATTTTTAATGTAGTTGCAAGGGAATTGGTTAAACTGCCTCTAGGTGCATTTCAAAAGGATTTTCTGTGCCACTGCTTTCTCTGGTTATCCTGAATATCTACTGCTGTTAGTGTCAGCCAAAGCATCTGACATAGTGTTTGTCTTTTCTAGCATGGAGACAGATGGACCCAAAAGGAATACTTTGAAAGAGATGCTGAGTCTTGTACCGGCTTGCACCAAATAGTCACAGATGTAGAGAAAAGGGACTATATGATGGTGTAGGGATACAGGTGTTAAGAAGAGAATCCATGAACCCCATAGGTTCAGCCTTCTCTGGGTCAGCAGCAGATGCAATATAAGCTAACAAAATAGTAGTCTAGGAGAGAGATGGTTATTCAGAATATGCCACATTTCTCCGGTTTGCCACCATCCTGATTTTCACGCATACCCCGTATGAGCCCAAAATATCCCTGGGGCCAATATAACGTGATGCTGTAGCAGAGTGCGCTAACCTCACAACCTCCCACATAAGAGTGTGTCTGAGAGGGAAAAGTTTTCAAGTGCCACTTTTGGCATCATCCCTGGAGTTGGAAAAAAGGTGCTATACTCAGTAGTACAGGCCAGCTGCTTTTGAACAAATCAGTGATGCAAATGAATGGTTGACCTATCTTTACCAGCTAGTGAAATGCCAGTTACAGCTGCTTTGCTGAGTTGGTACAAAGTGGCCACAATGTACTTCAATGCTCATCTCAGGCATACAGGCTACATCTATACTGCAGCGCTATTTCCGGTCTTTAGCTATTCCACGTCTTTTGAGCAAGCCTGTTATTTCAAAGTATAACGGGCTTGCTATTCTGACGTCTCTGTAAATCTCATTCCACGATGAGTAAGGGATGTTTTGAAATAGCTCTTTATTTTGAAATAAGTGCTGTGTAGACAGCACCAAATTTCACCTATTTCGAAATTAGCTCAAAATAAGCTATGCAATTTGCATAGCTCAGAGTGCATAGCTTATTTCAAGCTAAGGGTGCAGTGTAGACACACTCACAGAAAACCATCTTTACTTGCTCCCTTCTGACTTGTTAATTTGCTTATTTCATCCATTCAGAAATGAATAAAGAGCTTTTCTTTAACAATATTAATGAAAGAGGGTAATCTTAGGTAAGGTGCTTGTATTGCCACACTGCAAACTACAGCACAAAACAGGTGCTTCAGATGCAAATGAGAGTAGCTTTTTAACTGTAACATAATTAGGACAGTAATGTTTTGAGCCTAAATGGAAAACTAGCCCCTAGTGCAGTCCATTATAGATGATAAAACACACCACACCAAAATGCTATGCTAGAAAGAACATTTCCCCAAGCTCTTCTAAGTAAAGGAGGTGGGTTTTTTTGTTTTTTGTTTTGTTTTGTTTTTTGTTTAAAGGCATGGTCCTGACTGATGGACCCAGCTTCCAGAAAGCTGCTTTTACTTTTTCTGTCAATTTTGTGGCTCAATTTTTACATTTCAGTCTTGTGGCTTTAATCACTAATTTTGTCTCCCTCAGGGCATGTCTACACTAGGAAATTATTTCAAAATAACTAAATTCAAAATAATAATGATTGAAATAACAAAATTGAAATAGCGTGTCCCTCTTATGGGTGAGCCTTGAAATTAGTTTGAGGCAGGCTCCCTTATTGTGGACACACTACCTCAACTTAGAGCCTCAGGAAGCATTGAGGATTAGTTACTTTGAATTACTCTGGGGAATAGTTATTTCAAAATAGCAGCAACGGAACATCCACACTAATGCTATTGCAAAATAAGTGTTATTCCCTGAGGGAAGCAGGAGTACAGATTTCAAAATAACTAGGCCATTATTTCAAAATAATGAGGTTGGTAGTGTGGCTGCTCTGCTTATTATTTCAAAATAAGGAGGGGTTATTTTGAAATAACTCCCTAGTGTAGACCAGGGCAAATTCATCACCATTTTTGGTTGCCCCACTCCTGATAGCTGAGCAATTTCCATATTTGGGCCCATCACCAACTGTTTTTGGAAAGAATGAGTGGCCCTTTTCTTTTTTTCTTCAGAAGGGATGTTTGGCTTGGAAATGGAAGAAAACATCATGACAAAGCTGTTTTACTTTAAAAAATAACCTCCCATACTGCTGTTTCTACAAGAAGGTCAATATTTTCAAGTGTGGTGTGATTTGAAGAGCCCAATTATAGGCATCTTGAGAGCTATCTTCCAGCACTGCAAAGGACAGACATGAACTGGCATTGTGGGTGAAAACCATGCCTCTTAAAAAAAAAAGTCTCAAGTTGGATGCCCCCAAAATCACTGGCCTCATAGCCTACATCAGGACAATTAGCACCTTGATCATACAGTGCCGGCAGGAAACTAGTTTCTAAAAATGAGCAAAGTTAAAGTCTAGCAACTGGCACCAATATTTTATGTGAAATAATTCCATTGCAAAATATACTAGCGTGTAATACCTGTGCAAAGTAATGGGTGGTTGTAGTGGTGGAGTACTGCTTTTAATTCTTTAGGTATTGATAGGGAAGGGAAAGATGCATCACACCATGCACATCAGGCCATGCACTGCGTGGCTATGTGTTCTCCAGGTCTCACTGCTGCAGCTGCACTAGATATGAGGACTGTTGCCGGTTGTATTCCGCTTTTCGAACTTCTGTTTGAGCTCTGACACCAGGGCAATGTGGGTGCTGCTGGAGCCTCTTTTCTTCCACTGCTTGTTTATAAACTTGGGGCTGAGGGAGCCCGACACTGTGGGCACTCTCCATTCCGTGGGGTTTAGCCGGGGCGCTAACACTGCGGGAGGAGGCAGGGCCGGGGCAGTAGGTGGCAGAGAGGGCACCTGGACGTTATTGTTGCTGTTCTCATTCTGCAGACTCTGTGCGTCATCCTCAATGGCAAACTTCTCAGCAGGATTGCCCCAGTCCTGGGCTGATGGATCTGTCTCTTTTTTATGATCCGTCTCACCGGCATGATTTTGTTGGATCTCTTATTGCGCCAGAACATGGCAGTAGAGATCATGATTGTGATCACCACCATTATGCCCATGACACCAGCTAGCACTCCTAAGGCTTTCATGGGGTTATCTTTAGTTTGCATCAAAAAGGTGGCCATAGGCCCTTTGTGAAGAGTCTGTAAAAGAGTACAAAGAGAACACGTGACTTACTCTACGGGACAGACAGAAGTGCTAGCATTTCATTTGTCCAAAATATGTAATAATGAGGGCTGACCAACAGAAGTTGTTTTTTTTGTTAAACCCAAAATATGTAATAATGAGGGCTGACCAACCGAAGTTGTTGGTTTTTTTGTTAAAAAATATTAACCAATTTCATTATTTTACATTTGAATTTGGCTCATTCAGATTTAATACCAACTGGCCCAAAAGAAATATCTACAGCATTGTACTGTAACGGTGAAACACTGAAGTAGTGTTCCTGCAATAATTTGTATCAATTGTGTGCGATAGTGGCATATACAAGAGAATTAGCGCTGGAATATGCCGCTGTGCTGTTATGCTGTATTTCAGAATTAATTTCAAAGAAGGAACAATATTTTTAAATCCCAGTAGAAATGTAGAATTGGGACAATCTTTTGAGAAGATCTGCACACAATACAGCTTATGGGACTGTTACAACATATGGTATTACCATAGTTTGAGGCAACTGCATTTTTGATTGTAAGGTACACAATCCGTCTCTAGCAGATCTGTGTTGCATTCTGTTTTCTAGTACTCTTTTACAGACATAACAAAACTGTTTGAGGTAATGGACCTGAGCAGAACAAGATTTTTGTTTCTAAAAACTAAATAAGAGTGACTGTACACTATATATGGCATATTAAGGACAAATGAAGGAACAGTTCATTTTGCAGCTTAGCACACTGAGTGCTTTGGAGGTCCCCGTATGATTTTTCGGATTTTGCCCTGAGGATGAAGTCTGGATCTTTTCACACTTTTCCAGTACGTGATGGTGGAGATCACCATTGTTACGGAAATGGTGGAAAGCACGCCACTCATGCAAATTCCAAATATTGTCCATGGCTGTTTCTTGAGGCCTAATATATAGGATTTTACCCTGGACTTGATCTGGAAATGTCAAAAATAAGAGAACTTGTCAACCTGCACATCTTTATAGTCCAAAAAAAAGGCATTTTTTATGAATACTCTGGAGATACAGGAGGCTTAATTTTTTATGCCTATGTATGACTTACATATTTTTCCTACATAGAAGCTAAAATAAAAATTGCCAGCTGTGTGATTTAATCCTGCATTTTGCCCATCTCTTACTAGCTTCACCACCATGAGAACTGGGGCTAATGATGACCAGGAAAGATAATTATCCACTTGCTTAAAGCAGCTGGATTATTTCTAGCCCTCCCCCCCCCGCATCATTCATGTTCTCCCCTTGCATTGTCACATGTTCATGGGAAAGCATCACACAATGGGTAGCTTGAATTACTGGAATGATGTCCAACCCAAATCTGAGTTGCTCGGAAACCTATGCGTCATTCACAAACACATGGAACAAAAACATATCAATGTTCCCTCTAATTCTTTCCACCCACGTGTGGATTTTTTCCATGTATGTGCAGAATAATATTTGTTGAGGTGCATGTGAATGTGCACCATCAGTAGAAACACAAAACCTTGCTGTGAGCACTCTATTAAGCAGTTGGGCAGCATCTGAATTTTTCCTGAGTGACCACACAAGTGCACATCTTACAAGGGACACTTCAACGCTCTCCTTAATATCATTCTATAAAAAATTTTTGACCTCAGAGCACACACAAAATGAAATTCCCTTTAAAATGACCAGGAATGTCTGGGACCAGGAATGTCTGGGACATCAAGAAAATTAGCTCACACTTTAGTGTGCAAGCAGACATATTAATCTGATATGGCAAGCTCATGTTGTTTTAATTAAAGCCAGCTATGGGAAAGGCCAAAGAAAAAACCAGGTACATCACTGTAGTATAGCTTCACTATACACAATATCAAGTATAGAACTTGGAAAACTACTATGGCTAATCCTTGTGTGCAGTATAGTTGTAAATGTGCTGGTCTCATGATATTAGAGAGATGAAGTGGATGAGGTGATATCTTTTTACTGGACCAATTCAGGAACCTGAAGAAAAGCTCTGTGTAAGCTCAAAAGGTTGTCTCTTTCCCCCAAAAAATTGGTCCAAGAAAAGATATTACTTAATCCACTTTCTCTCTCTGCTAATAATAATTACTGTTTGAGACTTGTGAAGGTAACCGAGGCCTAAACTGCCACTAGAAGCCTAATAAGAGAGGATTTGGCAGCCTATGCTACTATCACTAAAACACCTGGGCTACGTCTACACTGGCCCATTTTCCGGAAGGGGCATGGTAATTTTTGAGATCGTAATAGGGAAATCCGCGGGGGATTTAAATATCCCCCGCGGCATTTAAATAAAAATGTCCGCCGCTTTTTTTCCGGCTTTTAGAAAAGCCGGAAAAGAGCGTCTACACTGGCCCCGATCCTCC